GCGCTCCTCTCCTCCCAGCAGGGGCTGCTGGTGGGGATTTCATCTCCTGCCTTGGAGGAGAGTGGCTCAGACGCTCTCCTCTGCCTGCCTTCAAAGGAAAAGAGCCCTGGTGCCAGGGCCAGGGTGTGGCTCCGTGGTAGAGCGCCTGCCTTCCTTGTGTGAGGCACTGGGTTCAGTCCCCAGCACCACATAAAAATAAAACAAAGAAGAGAAAGGTATTGTGTCCATCTACAACTAAAAAAATGTTAAAAATAAAAAGAGCCCTGGTGCCAAAGTGAAGCATTTGGGGGCAGCTGTCCACCCTGCTGTGGTTTGCATGCGGCTTAGGATGTTCCCAGAGTTCACATGCTGGACACTTGGTCCCAGTGTGGCCTACTGGGAGGAGGAAGGGCTTGCTCAAAGTCATAGACCCCATTGGAGGGACCCTGGTTAGGGCCTGTGAAACAAGAGTGGGTTTTCACAAAGAGCCAGCCTGGGCCCTGGACCCCTCTCACTTCCCATCTTGCGGCTCCTCTTTTCCCCTGCCACATGCACCCCCACTGTGATGCCATCTGCCATGTTGTGAGTAGCCAGAAGTCCTCACAGAGGTCAAACTGAGGGGCCAGCTGATCTTGGACTCCTAGCCCCCAAAACTGTGAGCCAAATTAAGCTCTTTTCTTTATACATTGCTCAGCCTCAGTTATGTTTTTATAGCAACATGAAATAGACTAATGCAGCCACCTCTCAGGTGACATTAATTTTACAAGGTCTGACTACTAGCATGCTAGTTATGCTTTAAAAAGCCCTTATTGGTTAAGATATGGACTGTGGTCTTTACAGATGAAACAACATGTTGTCTGGTTTTGAATCTAAAACATGCTGAGAAAAGGGAGGTAGATTGTGCCAGAATGTCCTTAAAAGAAGACTGCCCTCGTGCTAAGTGTTTTTGAGGCAGGACAATTGCATTTTCGTGTTGAGCTTATGCTTCACTCTAGCTTATTATGACTACCAAAGAATGCATTCAGGAAACAAGTGAGATGCTAAGCATGTAATTAATGTGGGTAACGCTGACTGTCACCTGAAAATCTCAGTCATGTGGGTTAGAATGGCCATGTTGGAGCATTTCTAAAGTCTCATCACTTCTTGGAAAGGCGGCTTCGTCTGCGTGTCTCACCGTGTTAGCATCCTGAGCTTTAGCAGTCCTCTGTGGTAGTTAATGGTTGATGGGATGGTTTCTCACAAAGCGGCCAAGATCATTGTCACAGCTGCATCAAGAAGTTCACTTGTCTCTGGAGTGGACACTCCCAAAGCCCTTGAGGTGGCTTCCCTTGTCCCTGGAGGTCCCTGGTTACCTCCAAGCAGTCATACCTTCACTCCTGGACTTGGGTGAGGGGGACCCTGGCCCTGGCCTTCCCTCCCCTGCCTCCCCAGCCAACCCTGTCCCTGCGGCCCAGTCTGAGGGGCCGTCTGCCTGTGGACATTCTGGCCAGCCTTGAATTTCTGGTGAGAAGATCCTCCTGAGCCAGAGGCCGGCAGGCAGTGGCCCACCCCTCCAGGCCCCGCCAAGTCCCACCGAACCTTCTCCCTGGGACGCCTGTCTTTTCACGTCTTACCCAGTCTAACAAGGTAGCATTTCTTTGGTCGGGGGCGTGTGGCTCAAGTTTAAGAATCACTGGCAGGACCCTGGCCTGCCCGCTGAAGGACTGCCTGTCACTGGGTTTGCTGGAAGAGCCAGGACGGTGTGACCTGCAGGCTCCCAGGCTGTGCGGCTCTCCGGGATCTGGAGGTCCAGGCTGGTGGATGTGCAGCCAGCACTCAGCCTGCAGTAGGTCTGGATTCGCCCCCAAAACACCATCGGTGTCAGCTGGAGAACCTGGGCCCTGCCTCCTGCTTATTCACTTGCAGTTTTTATTTAACGTTCATCTCCTTGTTGATGACCAGACACGGGAGAGCAGAGTTTGTGTCGAGCTCCTGCAGACTGCTGCCTGGGATCCCTGTTACTGCCTGACACCGACTCCAATTTCCGAATGTAGCTGGTGGGGGCTGTGGGTCACATGGCCTGGCCACATCTGCCATGGTGTGAATCGCATTCTGCAGAGGGGCTCGAGGGCTCAGCGGAGTGACACACCTGAGGACCGTCTCTCATGGCCCGAGACCCTGGGTCCTCCGTGGACCGCTCGATCTTCTCTAACTCTGCTCCTGGCCTCAGACTCCCCTAGTCAGTCCCTGGGCTTGTGCAGAAGCAGGGGCACAGCCGCCTGCCTCCTCCGTCTTCCTTCTCCAGACCCCTCTGAGCTTCAGACCACGCCTCCGGCAGCCACTGGCCTCCCATCTTAGCATGTGCGCTTCCCAACCTGAAGACGTCCAAAGCGGAGCTCCTCATCTTCTCTGTGGATCCACTGTCCTTGTTTTCCCAGCTCATCTCATGGAGACTCCAGGCACCCTGACGGCCACATCTGATCTCCAAGTCCTGTGAATTCTGCCGTGAGCGCTCCCACGGTTTCTTTCCTGCCAGGCCACCCTCTTCCCTGCCCCACGGCTCCTGGCTTCCTGGCCGGCCTGCTCACCTGCCCAGCAGCAGTGTCCTTTCAAATGCAACCTGGTCCCATCATGGTCACACCCACTCCTGGCCGGAGCCTCTTCGGTGTGTGCTCGTGGAATTCCGCGGCGCCTCGGGCAGGACCTGCAGGGCTCTCACTCCATCCTGAAGGCTCTGCTCTGCCCGCAAGCCTATGGCCACCTTCCAGGGCCCTCACCCCTTCCACAGGGGCTTCTCTGAACCCCCTGCCATGGTGCCTTTCCTTGGCAACCTCGCTGCCCGCACCCCCAGCACTCGTGGTCTTCCCTAGACCAGTGTCTGCACACCAGCCTACAGGTCACAGGACTGTCCACCACGCCGACTGGCAGCGTCTGTCTCCGGAGAGGGAGGCCACGTCCCCTCGCTCACGGCAGGCACTTTACATCACCCGTGCCCGTCAGGACCAGGGAGTCACAGCCCTGACTGTCACTGGATGTGGCTCCTGAGGGGGTCTTCTTTCCAACCATGAAGTGGGTCTAAAAGGGACTTCTTTAGGATCAAGATTTAGTTTTCAAATATGAATCACTTGTGAGAAACTGGAAAATTATTTCAAGAACAAACGTGACTTTTACAGACTGTGGTCAGAGAGAGGCTTGGGTTTCTGTTTCAGGAGACGCAGGACGGAAGGGTCAGCTGCACCCAGCCGGTCCCCTGTGCTCAGCCTCCTCTCCTGTCAGCCAGTCTCGGTGTGCTGGCCCCCAAAGCACGGGTGAGACCCTGCTCACCACCGCTGTCTCAGGAGTGCTCTTCCCGCGAGGGCGTGCGGCTCCTCCCGAGGCTCCTCATCAGGGCCAGCATGTGGCTGCCTGTGCACAGGCCGTCTTAGGAAGCCACCCACTTCTGCAGAGTGCCTCTGCAGTGTGCTCCTTTTCTAGTGGTAGTTCCTCATATTTTCTTGTTTCATGGATACTTAAGTCATAGACCTATAGACGTAATGAATCCTACGATTGCAAGGCTACGGGACCGCCTCGTGACGTGTGGGCAAAGCCGTGTGGGTAGGCTCAGGTAACCGGGAGAGGGGCATCGTGTACCATATGCACCTAAAACCACATTATGGGGGGTTGGTAGGCACTTTCCACACGACCCTAAACCATCTCTGTTCCTAAGTGCCCATGAAAAATATAGGAAGTATCATTTGGCACTTGGTGTCAGGTGCTAGGCATGTGCTCCTTGCCCCACCATCCAAGCCACATGACAGAGCAGACGGTAGATTTGGGAAGAGGTGTCGTGTTCCTGGCCTGGGGCAGGGAGGCTTGGGATTCAACCCGGGGTGCAGGGGGATGGTGGCCATAGGGAAGGACTCAGATGAGGTTGAATAAATCAGACATGTGGAGCTGGACATCAGAAAGTGTTCCCAGTCACCCAGCATCCGTGCTGTGGAGGAGAGGCTTGTCCCCTGCTGCAGACTCATGGAGGGTTGAGCTCACGAGAGCACAGAGCGGTCCAGTGCCTGGGGATCCCCGGAGGTTCTGCACCCATCATGGGATAGAAAACTCCCCCAGATCAGGTAGCGCGACCTGGTAGCAGTGTGGCCTTGGCTGTGAGGGGCTCTGAGGCCAGCTGGCCCTTCCTTATGGTCCATGTGTTTCTGTCTCCCTGCCTATAGCCCTCAGCTCTGCAGGACTGCGCCCCTGGCCACGGCCACCTCTGCAAGCCCCTCACACCCACAGAGGGGACCCCCACTCCTGCATGTCCCCAGCTCCAGAGCAGGTTGAGCACCAGCCCCGTGGCTGACCAGCCACCAAACCTGCTTGAGTCAGGGGCATGGAGCGGGAACAGGCCAGCTGTCCTCATCTGTCGCTGGGCGGGCAAGCTGGCCTGCAGACAGCTACCGACAGGCCTGAGCCCTGTCCCGCCTCCTCCCTGAAGGAAGGCGATCACTGCCAAGGGGCCGGGGCACAGAGGCGCCTGACCTGTGCCCGGTGCTCCTGTCCACCGTGTTTCATGCTCTCTCCTCGCTGGGCCTCGGGCACGAGGGATCTTAGCCCTGGTTTGGGATGGCCATCTGTGTGTAACGAGGCAACCTGACAGCTGCCACCTTTGCCACCCAGGCGCGCTTCTGTGGCGTCGGGCGCGCGTGGCCATCACCTCATCTCCAGGGTGTCCTGCTCGCTGAATGGGACTTTGCCACCCGTGCCCTCTGCCGTCCTCCCTCCTGGCCCCTGGTGCCACCATCCCGCCCTCTGCTGCACGCATCTGAAGACCCGGAGCCTCAGCCGGGGACCTCAGGTGCACCGCATCCCTGGCGCCTGCCCTGGTGTCCCTCAGGTCACGCCATCGTGCCTGTGGGCTCGTCCATGAGCCCTGCGGCCTTTCTTCTCACTCTTTCTTCCTTAAGTTCTGTGACCTTGTCTTCAAACCTTCTGTGAAATCAAGACTCAACACAGAGACATGAGAACAGAGGCCTAAGGCAGAGGTGGTATGAGCCGGTCAAACAGAGGCCATGGCCCCACCAGCTGACCGGGATCTGGCCTCAGCTTCGTCCCCTCAGCTCCGTTGCCCAGTGCGCCTCTCTGAGCCCGGTGCGGTCCTGCCAACTTGTGCTCTGGTGTCCTCTGTGGCTTTCCTATCCCCAGGCCCCTCCAGCCCCCGTGAGCCCTGGGTGCAGCCCACAGTCTGATTTTGCTGACACACGTGAGGTGCGGCTCGTCTTGCTCCTGTCCTTGGCACAATCTGCCAGCTGGCAGATTGCTCTACTCCTCTCTTAACCTGGGGATGTGGGTGGTTCAGAACCACGCCTGCATCATTACTTTGTAGTATTAACACCTCTATAAACGCATCACCCCATGTGGAAACCAGACGTGGGCAATGCCTGGTCTCCCTGGGTGGCCCACCTGGTGCCTGATGTCCCCCTTGCAAGCTGAATCCTGTGTCACCTGGTACTGCCGGCACCTTCGTTGAACATAGACACAGGAATTAATAATGCTTATAAACTGTAGGCGCTGCCCTATCCACAGAGGTCCTAGGAAGTCACCGGGAGCCCTCCAGCCCCTTGGTGGTCTCACTCGGGGCTCTGCTCGGTCCCCAGGCTGCAGTCCTCACAGGTGTCCTCTCAAGAGAGGATCGCAGCTGTGTCACCCTGTGGCTTATCAGAGTTGGAAGACCCCGACCACCCGTGGCATCCAGGTAACATCTCTGAAAGACGCAGAGGGTGCTTCACCTGGGTGCCCCGCCTGGGCCCCCAGGAGGGTGGGGCTCCCCTCTGCTACCCGAGGAGGCCCAGCCTTGGCTGTGAGTGCGCCTCCCCGGGGGGCACGGCGGCGGAGCAGCTGGCTGTCCAGTCTGCATGGGGTCTGCCTTTTTCCTCCTGGCCTCAGACTTATTTCTATAAAATGTGAAATCTGGAATTTGGGAGCAGTTTTGACCCTACAGTTTTGAAAGCTAGCTAGGAAGCTAGGTAGGAATAAGAAACAGACCGTGCAGGGCTGGGGCGGTTTGGCCTGGAGCCCGGTCCTCGCTGCAGGACGCTGGATTCCATCCTCCGCCTCTAGAAGCCTCAGGAATGGCGAGAATCCGGAGGCAGAGCCCGCGAGTGACGGGCTGCGGGAGAGGGCTGCAGATCCACAGCCTCTGGGGAACGCGCCACCACAGGCAGCCCCCACCCGGGGCTGGAGGCTGTATTCGTGAGACCGAGAGGCATGGAGTGTTGTGAACGGGGAGCTTCTGTGGGGACAGGCAGAAAAGAGCCCTGAGCTGGGCTGGGACAGCCACTCCCTCCTCGGGGACGGTCTCCGTGTTCTCCTCCGCGGATGGCACTGCAGTCGGAGGTCCCGGGAGCCCGAGGGCGCTTGGTCTCCAGCTTGTGCTTGGGCCCTGTGCTCCTTGGAGAACCCCTCGAGCGTCAGGGTTTTCCACTGATTTTTCCTTACAGCTGAAGCTGGGTCGTTGCTTCCTGTTGATGCCTGCGTGCCATGGGGGTCACTCCCGGGGTCAGTGAGAGGGGTGCCGGCCGGGGGAGCGGGGCCGAGGCTGGCCATGTTGGGGTGTGGCAGCCAGGCTGTGGGTGCACTGGCCGTGGCTGACATCTGAGCTTGGCTCCTGCCTTTTATTAGGGAGTTTAGGGGGTGAGAAGAGCAGCGAGCTCTGTCTTGGGGTCATGACAGGGGGGTGTAGGAACCTTTTGTTCTCGAAGCAATGGCGGCACAGCGAGTGCTCCCTAGAGTCTCGCTGAGCTGCCCTCCCCTGGACAGGCTCCCCCACCTGCGCTCCTGATCTTCTCATCCTGGCCCAGATGACCTCCTGGTCCACCACAGCTTACAGGGACTCGAAGTACGGGCTGGGTGACCCTCTGCCAGACCTGGCTCTGTCCCTCCCGTGACTGCTTCTTGGGCTTCAGGGACCTCACTGCCCCCTCTTCAGTTGGCATCTTGGAAATATTCCTCTGCGGTGGTGTGAAGGACAGGCCGGGCACGGGCAGGGCCTTCGTGCTTTGACGGGGCAGGCGCTGCAGGTGGGAGGGGCCGGGCCAGGCTGTTTGTCAGGCAAAGCCAAGCCTCATCCCCGCAGGATGTGTGCAGAGGCCAACATTTAGTCGCGTCTCCCTAGCCTGCCGTACCCAGATGCATGCTGGGACTCACGTGGCATTACTTGTGACTGCAGACGGTGAAGGGTCGCCTGTGCGGCAGCCTCAGAGCTCAGCACCAGGAGCCCCACCTGGCCAGGTGTGCAGCGTCGTGCTCTAGCGGCTGCCATTAGGGGCTTCCAGCAGTGGACAGCGAAGAGGACCACTGCTCGCACTGACAGCTGTCGGGCCCACAGCCTGTGGCTCTACCCCGGAATGGGCACGTGGTGGCATGTATCTGTCATCTCACAGAAATCCCTATGTGCTTCCTGTGCACGCATCGCGTGCTGGCCAGGGGGTGGGGAGCGCCCATCCTGCTTCCTCCAAATACAAGGACTTGTGGACAGCAAACGCCTGGCCGTTCAGAACTGGGCTGTTGCTGTTTGGCCTTCCCAAGCTGCTGTCTCTCCATGAAATTTCAGTTTGTTTTGGAACTGGAGCCCACCCACGTTCTTCTGTTCAGCCGCAGCCGAAGCTGGTGCCCCACTTCTTGAAGGGCGGCCTCGGCTCCCCCCCCATGGGAGGTACCTCAAGGAGACGGCTCAGTAGGCCCAGGGGAAGTGGCTGGAAAGCGGCTCTCCAGCCTCGGGGGCTTCATCCCCTATGGGAAACTGCAAGTGCCCAGGATGCTCAGGCCACTGGCCCCAGGCCATCACATACTCCGCACGGTGTGAGTGCCTTCTCTGGGTTGGGGCAGGCCGACCTTTTTCTAAGGGCCAGGCATTGCAGGCTGCCGTCTTCGAGGCCGTGCGTCCTCTGTCTTGACCACTGGAGCTATCCTGCACCTTGCCGCCTGCAGCATTCGTCAGCAAAGTGCTCCGGGTGGTCCAGGAAACTGTGTCGACCAAACAGGCCACAGCTGGCGCTGGCCCAGGGCCTGTCCTCCACCCTGGCTCCCGTTTGATGAGTGAAGCCCTGGCTGGCTCTGAAGGCTCTGTTTTGTTTCTATTAGGAAACGATTCTGGTGAAATGCCATCGTCCTGGTCACCCTAAGATCAATAAGACGTATAATTTTGAAAGGTAAGTGCTGGCCGAGTACACATAAACCATGCACATCGTGCCTGGGGTTGACTGACACGTGCCCCCTGTCCTGCCTCTGGGGGACGGCGGTTAGAGATAACCCCTGTGCCCACCCCCCAGGTAAATCCAGGGCTTTCTCTCTTTCTCTCTTTTCTCTCTCAAACAACGGGGCCTGAGTCAGAGGCCTTCCTGGTCAGCTGGGTGTGAGTGATCCTGGCTCCTGAGTGGGAAGGTCCTCCCCCCCCCACCCAAGGATGGTGAGGGGCCCCCGGCACAGGCTTAGTCCTCTGCTCCTAACTGCAATGTCTGAGGACTCTCTTCCTGACCCTGCAGTGGCCTCTGGCTTTGTGGGGACAGTTGGAGATTCACGGACTCCTCCAAGTCCCCAGCTAGGGACAAGTGAGTAGGGGCAGGGTGTCCTGAAAGAGCCTCCAGGGAGAAGCAGTGGACCTCAGAGCACACACAGTCCACCAGGCGCCGTCCAGCCGGGGTCTCGGGGACGGGGCTGCCCAGCAGCACTGGGGTGTCTGCCTGCGCACACCCCTGTGCTTCCGAGCTCCCAGGCAGGGCGCCACCTGTCCACCTCCCGCATCCTCTCAGCTTGGGGACAGGCAGGGGTCTCGAGTGTGTCGGGGTGCACATGTAGGCCTGCACACAGGCCCCGCTCCTGCCTTCCTCCCCCGACGCAGCCTCTGTTTGTCGCAGAGTCTACGGTCCAGCAGAGTCTCAGGAGGCTGTGTTTGCAGATGTGTGTCCCCTACTGACGTCCTTCCTGGACGGGTGAGTGAAAACGATTTTAAGGCCAGTGATCACAAACCTCTTTCCCATACAGAAATCAGAGGCCTGGCCGGGGGCAGCCTGTGGCCAGTGCTGGCTCTGTGTCCTGCACTGCACCATGTCTCCACCCCTGGAGATGGAGGGCACTGCTGGGCAGAGCGTACGGGCCTGAGCAGGGCTTGGGTGGCTGCGGGTGGACTCGAGCCTCCTAGCGGCTGCCTTTACCCTCTGGGATTCTTTACATTTCACACGTTCTAGAAGTCTGCTGTGAACGCTCCATCATGTCGGGGGCTCTGTCTATTCTTAGAAAAGACAACTACCGGTTTTAAAGGCAGGGGTCTTAGGAGTAAAGAGCACTTCTTTAGCCATCAGTTAAACCAGGTTGGAATATTTAACTGAGGATCCTCAGGCCACAACTTGCCCAGAGGTCCACATCCAACTCCCTGGAGAAGACGCCCCTATGTCTGCCCAGAGAGGAGGCGGCGTGACCGACCTCCACAAATAGAAGCTAATTGCAGGGTTGCTGTCTCGCCATTGGTGCCCTGGCTGCCCCGAGGCCTGTGATCTGTGGAGTGGGGCTGGCCATGTCCACCTCACCACCCCGGCACCCAGCGATCCCCGCTCACCGCTGGGCAGTTTCTGCCTCAGCTGGCCTGTGTCCATCTGCCCTGGAGATGGCCAGGCTGCTCTGGTCAGCGGGCATCTTTTCAGAAGTGAGGAGTCCGTGGTGCAGTCTCGGCTGCACCTGCCTTCCCCTGGTAACCGGAGCGCGCTGCGCTGTCCCAGCCTCTGTGCTGCCTGCCTGCTCCCCCTCCCAGGGGGGAGCTCTGCTGGGTCAAGGGCAAGGGAGGTGGGCTACTCAGATGAGAGTGGGGTGTGGTGGCTCCCGTCACCGCGCCTCGAGCCTCCTCAATCCCGAAGTGCAGGGCGACAGCTTACAGGCCCTGAGCTGGTCCCTGTGGCCCCAAGGTCTCTGGGGATGCGACAGCTCCCTCAGTCTGGGCCTTTGGGCTCGTCACTGCTCTGGGCACTGAGCGTTCAGATGACCACCAACCAGTTGCCCAAACCTTTGTCCAGGGAAAGCACTCACTTGACTCAGAGATGAGGTGGACAGTGCCCATCCAAAAGGAGAAGCCAGATCAGATCCAGGGTGAGGGGAGTGCTGGGTGACCTTGCCGGGCAGTCAGGGTGGAGGACCCTGCAGCGTGCATCTGGCCAGCACCTTTCAGGCAAGACCACCTCTGGCTGAGGATATAATTTCATGTAATAAACTAATGTAAAACGTATGTAGATGTTTCCGACCTTCTCATGGATGTTTTGGCCTACAGGACTGGAGGGAAATTCAGGGTCCATCAGAAATCCTTGCCTTCTGTGGAACAAACTGTGGTCCAGTAACCCCAGGGCAGGTGGTGGGGAGGGCCTGGGCACTGGTGGGTTCACTGGCAAGAAGGAAAGCCCACGGTTCCTTGTGTTGTCCTTTTGTGTCCTAAAACCATCGGTGTACGACGGTGGCCACTGTGCTGCTGACTAACTAAAACCAACAAAATGTTCTCAGAACATGGTAAGAAAACATGCAAACTTCTATGGCATTTCATGAAACATGAAGATGCACTTGCCTGGGGCCACTCTAATACTGCGGTGAAAGCCAGTGAGACATTGTGGGAATTCGGAGGGGACCCACTGTGGGTCGGCCCTGGTGACCTGCGAGCTGACGGAGGACATGACCCACGAGAGACGCCGGATGCGAAGCAGGCGGGGCGAGATGCGGGCTGTGTGCAGAATAGCCACACGGTGGCCGTAGTGGCACTAGTCATGGCTGAATGAAAACCTTACAAGAAGTGGAGTCACAGGGGGACACGAAATGAAGTGTGTTGAAATTTCACCTTCAGTGAGGGCGCTTTCACGCTGGGCGGTGGCCGGCCGGGCGTGTGCTGTGCCTGAGCGGGCTTTGCCTTTCAGGTTCAACGTGTGCATCATGGCCTACGGGCAGACTGGGAGCGGGAAGAGCTACACCATGCTGGGGCCGCGTGCTGGGGATGAGCCTGGGCTGCCGTCGGGGGCTCACGCTGACTTGGGAATTATCCCCAGAGCCGCGGAGGAGCTCTTCAGGTACTTGGATGGTGGTGACTGTGAGCACAGAGCCTCGGTGCTGTGTGGGATGAGACGGGGCGGGAGGGATGGAGAGCAGGCCCAGGGTCAGCTCGCGCTGGACAGCCGTTCACTCAGCTCACAAAAGTCTCCTGAGGACGGAGCTCTTGACCAGGATCCCTGGGCTCCTTTCCCCCCCCAGGAAGCAAATTCCTCCCTCCTGATGGAGGGTCTCCTGTTCCATTCACGGGTCCCCACAGGAGACCTGTGGCCATGGTCAGGATGTCCCCACCTAAATTAGTCCTAGGAAAACACCACAAGGGTCCTCAGCCGCCCAGGTTGGCAGGGCCCATGGCGACGGTGAGGCTCTCTAGCCCACGCCCGGCTTGGCCTCCTCACTCCCCTCTGGTTCTCACGCTGCTCTGCACGCACCCTGGCTGCCCACCCAGCCGGCCCGGGCCCTGCCCCGTGGGAACAGATGGCACGGCCAGCGGCCTCTGTGCTCCCCACCCTGAGACTCGACTCTTGTCTCTATTTCCTTATGTTGATCTTTTGTGTCCTAAAACCAGGGATGAACCATGATGCAGCAATCCCACCAAGCCGGGTGCTTTAGTGTCTTCAAACTGGTATTCCTTAAATATTTGTCAAACTCGCGTGTCTACCAATTTACTTGGACTAAGTACCTCTGGGTACATGCTGCAAAGTCCTTCCATGTTCTCTGTCATGGGCCACCTTGTGCATTTGCATAATGTTGTGCTGCAGTGACAGGTCCTGGAGATCAGGACTTCCCAGCATGTGCCTGTGTGTGAGGGGAGGGAAGCTATGCCTGTGCCCTCAGGGATCCCCCAGGGCACCTGCGTCCATCCTTCCCCATCTCCTCGGCTGAGCAGAACAGGGCCCTGGGAATAGCATCAGGCCCCACCACAGACACACACCAAGAGATGCCTCACCGATGCTGAGCTCAGGTCTTGGGGTCCAGCTTTGGGGGAGTCTCGGTGTCTGTAGACACTGCTCAGCTGTGGGCTGCAGAAGAGCTCGGAGATGAGGTGGACAGTGCCCATGCAGGTGGAGAAGCGGATCAGAACCTCCAGGGGGAGGGGAGTGCGGGTCTGAGCCCCAGGCAGGGCCAGCCGCAGCTGGGAGCCGCAGGACTGCTGGCTGGAGCGCGAGGCTCCTCACTTCCTGTGGAGGCTGAGGGCTGAGGGGGCGGGGGGGGGGGATTGGGGGGGGGGGGGGGGGGGCGTCTGCCCTCTGCCTGCCTCAGCCCTCCCGCTCCTCCTTCACTGTGAAGGACCTGCACAGGCAGCCTCTCGGCATCTGGACGCAGAGCACCAAGCCATCTGGACACCGGAGCCGACGGCGTGGAGGGCTCAGATCCTTAGAGAATTGACAAGAGATGGGCAGCAGGCCTGACCAGTCAGTTCATGCAGATGGCCAGCAGGCCTAAGAATGCTGCACACCACCAGTCGGGGAAATGCGAGTCAGAACCACCGTGAGCCCTCACCAGGCTCCAGTGAGAATGGCCATTGCCAAGAAGACTGAAGGTGACCGCTGGCGCGCAGGGGGAGGAAAGGGGCCCTTGCACTGTTGTGGGAGTGTGAATCAGCACAGCCAGCGTGGAAAACCACACGGAGATTCCCTGGAACACCAACAGTAGAACTAGCACGGGACCCAGCCATCCCACTGCCAGGTCCACATCCAGAGGAGAGGAGTCAGTGTGCTGAGGGACACCGGCTCTCCCTGGGTCACCGCAGCTCGACTCACAGAAGGTCTAGTGTCCGTCAGCTGAGGGTGGACAGAGAAGGGGCGGGGCATGTGCCCCACGGAGCACGAGTCGGCCACAGAAGGACGACCCTGTCGTGTACAAGAAGGTGGGCCTGGAGATCACTGTGCCAGGAGAACTCAGCCTGGCTCAGAGGGACAGGCACCGTGTGATCTCAGTCCAAGTGTAAGCTGGCGAGGTTGATCTCCCGGAGCTGAGACCTCAGCTGGTCACCTGAGACGAGCTCTAGACATGGTTCAGCCAGACGTGGGGGTGAGTCTGGGGGGGCGGTCTCACTGAATGACTGGCACTCTCCTTCCCGTGATCCGAGAGGCTCTGTGGGTCACTTTCGTAGTTACCTGGATATTGCCCGGATCCTGGAAGTAGCAGAAAGTGTCCTCAGACATAGGCGAGCCGTCCTGCAGCCCCAGGGGTCGAATTACTCTCACCTGTCCCTGTAACCCTGCCCCTCCTGGTCTTTTTTGATGAAACTTTCTAAGAATGAGGGTCCCCCCAATAAAAGCCCACCTCCAAACGTGCCCTCTCTCTCTTGCCAGCCTCTCGTCACTTTCCGCGCTCTCCCATTTGGGGAGCTTGAGGTCGAGAGCAGAGGAGCCGTCCCGGAGCTTGATTTAAAGGTAAAGTGTGTGTCTGTGTTTTATTTGGGGTCCCAGGAAATTCACACGACTGACCTTAAGTTCAGCTGCCCGCACTGGTCGGGGGCAGCATGGGTGTGCCGGAGTTAACATGTGCTCTGTCCTCCCGCCAAAAGACAAAATCACAACCCGGGGCCTGCGTATCAGGGAGTGTCTGAGGACCCTTTACCCTAAAACAGGGTCCTGCTAGACCGCACTTACCAGAGAAGCCGTTGCTGCCGTTTGAAATGAGATTCGGGGACTCTGCTCTGGCATTTCCCCACTTCCTTCTAAGCTGGCTGTTGACACCGCCTCCTGGGCTGTGTCTCTGCTCACCCTCGTTCACCTGATGCAGGATGCTTTCCTCAACACCGCCAAAGGCATGGAGAACGTGAGGTGTGTGTGATGACTGTTCAGCCCTCAAGAAGCCTAGAGTGGAGAGGTCGCAGCAGGAGGACGTGTGCCGGACCACTGGACACGGCACAGAGCAGCCGAGGGCACGCAGGAGGGAAAGGGGTCTCTGCACGGCCTGCCCATGTAACCCAGGAGCCTGGGCTGGTGTCGCCTGGGCTGACCACAGGACACTGCTCTCCGTGACGACCGCATATCTTGCCCGAGAAACTTAGCTGCTTAAAGGCTAAAACAGAAGATGCAGTTTCCGACCCCTTCTGGAATCCAGAGGACGACTTGATGAGCATTTTAAATGAACTCTGGGGAATTCTGTGGATGAGAAGCGTCTGCTTCGGGGCCCATGACCCTGAGACGCTTGGCCCCTGCCAGGAAAGGCCACGACTGCAGAGGCCATGTCCACCCAGCTGCCGGCTCAGTGAGCTCCTCTGGCATCTTCCAGACCCTGTTCCTGGCACGGTCCCCACAGACTCCAGTGTGAGCACCGCTGGCATCTGCACCCTTGCCTCCTCTTTCCCCTTTGCTCTGTTGCTGAGGTCTGTTGTTTGCCATGAGAAGACATCGATTGCTTGTTTTACCCACAACTGTCTCTAGATCTGGACTAACGACTCCTTCTAGCAAAGCTCGGACGGGAAAATCTCACAGGACTTGCCTCAAGCACATCGTCAGTGCCCTCCCCTGGGCCCGTCCTCCTGGGCGAGAGCAATGCAGGATGGGGATCAGCTGACCCAACTGTGCTGTGTCAGGGAGGCCGGAATCTGGACCATGAAGCAGCTTCATTTGTCCTTTGGCCTGGGACAGGTCTGGGGGGTAGTTTTGTCAGAGGGCAGACCAGGATCAGGAGGGATGTGGGAGGGCGGGCAGTGGTGGGGGGTGGGCTCCCCTCTAGGTGAGCAGCCCCCTTAGTTCTAGTTCTCCAGTGGTCAGCACACCACACTTTAAAAGCTGAAGCACTGTGAGACTCGCGGTGGTGTTTGAGAGCTGAGTGGGTGTGCAGGAGGCCAGGGGACATTGGCTGGACCTCATGAGTGGATTGGCCTCCAAGCTTCTGACCAAGCCTCCCTGAAGCAGGGGGTTCAGACAAAGGAGCCCTGTGGTCTGCAGCTTGCCCCAGGCTCGTGCCCCAGGGTGAGCTGGCTGGGGGTCTCTGCTCCTGGTTGTGAATCCTTCCTTCTTCTCCACCTGGGCCGCGGGGCCTGTGGGTAGGGCTGTGCAGCAGCTGATTTAAGCAAGACTCCCATGAAGTCACTTTGTCCCCAGGGCGCGGTTCTCCCTCCAGGTTAGATGGGACTCCCTTCCCAGTGACCTGGGTGCTGTGAGACCTACCCTGCACCCTGCTGCCGGATTCCTGCTGAGTGTCTGTGGCTGCGGCCATCTGCCATGGGGCCGGGCTGTCCTCTGTTGGCTAACCCCGTGTGTGCTTCCCCAGGCTCATTTCAGAAAGTCCACCGAGAAGCCCCACGGCTGAGCTGTCCATAGTGGAGATCTACAATAACGACATTTTTGATCTCCTGGCCAAGGAGGGTTCTGGAGCAGCGGCTGGGACCAAGCGTGAGGTCCTGACGACCCGGGAAGGGTGCACAGAGGTCCCCGGTCTGACCTGCACGTGAGTTCAGGCAGAGGTCCCCCTGGCCCCGAGGGGCGGTTTCCTCCCAGGTGCCGATCGGCCATGGCCCAAGCAGAGCCAGCTGTGAGGGAGGATCGGGCTGGTGGTCAGCGGGACGGGCCACACGGGCTTCAGTGCTTAGTGCACGTCTCCCAATTCTTAGTTTAAGAATTTTTCTCCTTCCTTCCTTCCTCCCTCCCTCCCTCCCTCCCTCTCTTCCTCCCTTCGTTCCTTCCTTCCCTCCTTCCTTCCTTCTCTCCTTCCTTCCTTCCCTCCTTCCTTCCTTCCTTCTCTCCTTCCTTCCATCCATCCTCCCTTCCTTCCTTCCCTTCCCCTCCCTCCCTCCCTCCTTCCCTCCCTTCCTTCCTTCCTCCCTTATTTCCATCCTCCCTTCCTCCCTTCCTCCCTTCCCTCCTTCCTTCCTCCCTCCCTCCCTCCCTTCCTTCCTTCCTTCTCTCTCATGGTGCTGCGGATCAAGCAAGCCCAGGGCCTTATGTGTGCCAGGCAAGCGCTCCACCACTAAGATACACCCCCAGCCCAAAGTGACCTTTTTTACTGGGAACTGTGCAGGGGTGACAGATATGTTAATTAGCTGGAATGCTGTGACTGTGTCACAATGTGTAAGTCTGTCAAAACATCAAGGTGTTCAATAATTTTTATATGTTGATGATATGTTAATAAAGCTGTTGAAAATAAAAAAGGGGTAGAGCTGGGTGGTGGAATGCCAGCCTGTGCACGCAGGGCCCTGGGTTCAGTCCTCAGCACAAGAGAAAGAAATAGAAAAAAGACTTTTTAAAAATATACATAAATAAATGTATCTTTTAAAAAGTCTTCATCAGAGTCCATGGGATGGGTGCCATTTTGTCACCAAATGGGGCCCAGGAGGGAGACAGGGACCTCAACTCAGCTTTTGTTGGCTCTTGACACATGCTGCAGAAAAAGAATTTGGGGACCTGTCGGGAAGAGGCATAGCAGAGATTCATTTAGGAAGGCAAGGGGCACTCACCGGAGGGACAGAGCGCAGGCCATCTCAAGAGTGAAACGGGCCTCGGGCTCTTCTCTTAAAGGAGACCGCAACCAGGGAGCCAAGGCTCCTTTAATCTCGGAGCTCAGGATGGGGGCCTGGTTCTCTTCAGGATCTCCAGGCTGACCTTGCTGGGCGTTGATAGATAACTTTTGCAACATTCCCACCTCATAAGTCACTAGCAACATTTTTTCCCTTGGCTTTATTTAGTCTAAAGAAAATAGGTTGTGCAAGCTAGCAATGTGGGGGGCGCCGGCTCACTGGGCCCCGACACTCTGAGGCCCTGGGCTGCTTAAGACTCAGACCTGGGGGCACAGGCCGGGGAGTGCAGGGCTGCTCGTGGGGCATCTTGGGGTGAAGTCACAGCCCCCATCCTTCTGTACTCCCCTGTCCACCTGTCTTGTGTCTTCCATCCTCCTCAACCCCACCTTGAAGGAGAGGAAAAGCCGACGAAGTGACCTCACTGCCCACGGTCAGTCGAGGACAGTGAACTTCCTCACACTTGAACATCAGCATTTTATAGAGCACAGTAACACAGCGTCTTGTGAATGTGGACTCCTCACATGGCCTGGGTTCTCAAGTTACTCTTGTGAGAGCCCTGTGTGGGTCAGCACCTGACCCACCACTAGGGAGTGACAGGAGGAATTCCCGCCTGAGGCCACGGGGGGCTGCCCAGCCGGGGACTCAGACTCAGCAAGAGAAGGCTGTGCCGGCTGCTGGTCCTGTTTCCAGAAGCCTGAGGTGCCAGGCACTTGGTGGTGACATGTTTGCAGAAGTAACCCAGACTCTCAGCTGTTGGCTGCCGGACTGTGATCAAAACGCAGCCCTTCCCTGCGGAGCCTGGGCAGCAGCCCCGATCCCCGGACATGGGCTCTTATCTCATGAATCTAATTTGATAGAATATTCTAAAAACGCGGGTCCGTGAGGGTGGTTGGAGGAAGATGGGAACTGGGGGTTACCGACCTTGGATTTGGTGAAACACTGGTTATTTTTAATTGCTTATGTTCTCTTTTGCCTAAATCAGCTTCAGTCTCCTCTGGAATTGCCGTACCCATGTCTGGGAGCGGTGTCTGTTAGCGGTGGCACGCTGTGTTGACCTGGGGGCAGCCTGGTGGTATTTGCTACCTGCCCTTGGGTGCCCTCTAACACTTCTCCCCTGCCAGGGCCGTCGCCAGCGCCGCAGAGCTGGTGGCACTTGTCCACGGAGGTCTGCAGCTCAGAGCGAGGCACCCCACCTTGGTGCACATGGCTTCTTCCAGATCTCACCTGGTGGTGACGGTGACTCTGACCATGGTGTCCCCCTCAGACAGCACTGGTGAGCTGCTATTGGCGCTGGGTCAGTTCAAGTAACAGAAATCCACCAAGAGGAAAAATCCCGGGGTCCCCGCGGGGTCTGGAGCAGGAATTGCAGCCACACCCTCCAACGACCTGGGATCTGGGACCTGAACACAGGAGGCCCTAGGACCCAGGCTGGGGAGAGAGAGGGAGGTGGGCGGGAGGAAGCATCTGCTAGGGACATGGGCAACAGGGCATGCGGCACCTGGGGGCGTGGGGCAGCGTCCTGAGGGGACTGCACAGTGGGAGAGAGAACAACGCCTGGCGTGTCAGAAAGGCCGTGTCATGCCACAGAGGCCCACGGCGTCCAGAGCAGAGCTCCTGGACTCTAGCCACAGAGGCCCACACGTGCCTGCGCACAGGTGCACGGCAGGGCGCCAGGAGGCAAGGCAAGGCTAGGCCCCGCGGAAGTCCATGGTGCAGAGGGTGTGTCCTGCAGAGCCCTGCTCTGCCCCCCACCCCCCAGCCCCAGGGAAGCCCTGCTGACCTGCCCCAGCTCATTTCCTTCTTGCCTGGAAGGCCAGTGTAGACAGATGTGGTGCATCCGGAAGGCCAGTGTAGACAGATGTGGTGCGTCTTATCACAATGACACTCCACACTGTGGTCCCCGGACAAGGGAGGGCAGGGGCAGCATACTCACTCCTCGAGCCACTCCACCAGCCAGCACACTACTGCCCGGCACAGGACTGGGCTCAGGTAGGGCCCAGGTAGCGCCAGGCACCTGATATGTAGGGAGCTCTGCTGATCCTGTGAGGGCTGCCACAAGACACAGACACAGAGGTGCCTCTGTGCAGGGATTCTGGGCTCTCCTACGAAAATCTCTGTGTTTTCTGTTTTGTGCCATGAGCATAAGCTCTCGAGGGTCTCGTGGAGTCTGTTCAGGAACTTCGCAGGGCGAGACTTCATACCCATGGAAACAGCACTTCTTCGGGCTTCTGTGAAGCTGATGGATGGATTTCCAGGAGGGCATGGGTTTTCCCGGGGTTCCGGTCACCATCGTCACCCGGACTTCCAGGAAGCATTATTTAGTTTTCTTGGGATGGACTGGGCGTTCGTTCGACTTCCCAATGTGAAGCATGCTACCCGCCTCCTTTTCTTGTTATCGCCCCCTACAGAACCCACCGACTGCCCCTCTGCCCAGTTTGCTTCTAAGAGGAAGAGAGAGGCAGAACCAGCTTCTGGCTGGTGGGTGAGGCCTGGAGGGTGGAGCTGCAAGAGGCCTCCGCACTGACTCCCTGCCCGGCTGTCTTCTGTCCTCCCCTCCCACCAGGCCCGCAGCACCATCCAGCCCCCCTGCAGGGTCACGCTGGGGCAGGGAAGGGGTGGAGCACCTCTCCCCAGGCTCGGCCTCTCCAGCCCCTTCCTGTGGACCACACGGGTTCTGCGAGGCAAGCGCGGGCCAAGCTGCAGCTGGTGGACCTGGCCGGCAGTGAGTGTGCAGGTGAGCAGCAGCTGGCGGCCAGCTGGGTAGACAGGCAGCGGGCAGAAGCCCTCACCTGGGGGTGCCCACAGCCAGGCTGTGACCGGCCACCAGGAAGCTCTGAGCCTGGCACCTCTGCTCAGGTGACTCGAAGCCCTGTCACATCTGGCCATCGGAGGTCTCCCCAGGGCAGTCAGAGGTCACGTTCTTCCTCCTGAGTTTCCAGGAGCAGCTCTGGCCCCTGGAGGAGCCATGCTGGCGCGATGGCGGAGTCCACTGTAAGGACTCCCAGGAGGTGCCTCCCCACCAGCTGCCGAGAGGCCCTCCGCCCAGAGCCTCCTTACTCTTGGGCGCTTGCTGAAGTGCAGGGTGGCTGAGGGGGCTCCTGTGCTTTGCAGGTGCATCTGGGGTGACTGGCCTGGCACTAAGGGAGACCTCGTTCATCAACCGGAGCCTTGCAGCCCTGGCAGATGTCCTGGGTGCCCTGTCGGAGCGCCGTGGCCACGTGCCTTATCGGAACAGCAAGCTTACCCACCTGCTCCAGGACACCATCGGTTCGTCCCCCTCGGATGAACCCAGAATAGAGAACACTGTGAGCTCAGCCTGGGGGAGCTGTCCCCGGCCCAGATTGTCCTTGGGGCCCACCCAAGTCTGCTGGGCTTCTGGGAGGTCCCCTCTCCAATGTCCCTGGCACTTGGTGGCAACTGCACTTGTGCTCTCCAGTCTTGGGTAGGGCTGGCTGGTGTGCGCCTTCAGAGGTGCACCCCTCGCCATCCAGCTAGGCTCAGGGCTCTTGGGGAAGGCCTCGCACCTCTCCCTCCACCACGCTGGACTCAGCAGTAGCCAGGGCCACCTGCTCCATGAGCCCCAAGCTGTGGGAGCTGCAGCTCTGCTGAGTGGGGTGAGGGCACTTGGTGCAGCCTCAGGGCCTGTATCTGCCACCTTTTTGGGGACCGCACTCTGCTCCAAGTGCCAGTGGACTTTGTGTAGGCAGCTGGACCCCGTCCAGTGCTTTGGGACATATAGATGCCATTTGTCATGACTCCTACTCAGCTCACATCTTGTTCCTTTTATTTAAGGGGGTGATGCGAAGCTCCTGGTGATCCTCTGTGTGTCCCCCGGGCAGAAGCACGTGGCAGAGACACTGCAGGGCCTGGGGTTTGGGGCCCGAGCTCGGCAGGCTGAGCGGGGACAGGCTGGGAAGAGGCCTTCCTGCGCCCAGGTGAGGAAGTCGTGCGGGGGCTCCGCATCTCGATGAGTCCTCTTCCCCGGAAGTGTGCTCTCTGTCACTGTTTTCTAGTGTGGGTGCCTGAGGAATAAATGTGTTTGGATTTGATGAGCCTCTTGTGCCCCAGGGACCTGTGGCTGGCTGGCTGGGAGATCCGCGCACAGCTCAGGCCAAATCACCCGGCACAGGAGGCCAGAGAGAGGACGGCTCGTCCAAGGAGCCTCCTCCCGGAGCAGGTGGGCAGCAGGTGCTCAGGTGGGTGAGGAGCTGTGCTGTCTGTGCAGCAGGCCCGCAGCCCCCCAGGAGGCCCAGCTCTGCGTGCTGTGCCTCCTTAGACACAGACCCAGGAGCTCTGCGCACAGGCTCCAGAACTAGACAGACTTGGGCTCTGCCTCCTCCCGGCTTTGTGTCCCAGAGAGGGAAGGCCCCATTTCCTTGTCTGTGAGCTGGGGTGAAGATCAGGGGTGCACAGTATGGGCATCGAGGCCTGGTGGAGCAGAACAGGTGCCGTACTCACAGCACACCGCCCCGAGGTGTCTGTACGTTGCTTCCCTGGCCAAGTGAGGGCCCAGGCTGGGCACAGTGGCAGGGGAGGTGACGAGACCTCCAGCTCGTGGCCAGGGGTCTATGAGTAGTCAGGGCTCTGGGCACCGAGGAGGAAACAGCCCATTTCATGTCCACCAGCCTCTGGACTCACGCAGCTCCATGTGTGGGAAACCAACCACAGCATCGGGGGACTTGATGCCAGGGCAGTAGAAGGGCCTGGAGGGGGCTGGGGATCTGCCCGCTGCTGGTGTCCACGTGTGCTGGGAGCCATGTCACAGGACCCAGTGGCAACCTGAGAGCTGCATTCCTTGTTTCTGACCTTCTGGGCAGAGCCCCGCTGTCCCAGGCTGACAGAGAAGCGCAGGAGACCCTGCCCGCAGGCCTGTGGGGAAGGGCTAGACCCGGAGGCCCACAGAGCAGTGGTCGGAAGAGCAGTTTGAAGTCACTTTGTGTTTTCCCCAACTCCTGGTGCTGGGGCTCGGGGCTCTGTGGGACAGGAGGGGGCGAGGGGAGCCCAGCTGGTCCCTGAATCGAGCTTTCCACCCAAGTATGTGGAGAGCAGAGGCCAGCTGGGGCAGGAGGGTGGGCCACCATCCATCTGGGGAGGCCCCTGCCCAGGAGGGACTCCTGCCGGGGAAGGCTGTGAGCAGGAACTGTATGCTCCACGGGGCAGGCTGCGGGGAGACTGGTAAAGGGGAGTGAGTCTCATAGTTCCCAGGACCCTCAAGTACCCCCCACACATGAAAGAACCAGGTCTGGTGGTGTCAGGAGTAGGCTGGCCCTCACTCAGCCATGGGTGGGAGGAGGTGTGACCTGAGACAATGACAGCCCCCTGTGCCTCCCTTGACCCTGGACAGGCCTGACCTCAGGTGAGAGGCTCTTGGGACTGGTGCAAGGCTGAACTGGATTTAGGTCAGTGTAGACCCTGCTTAACACTGAATATGGAGTGTGGACAGGACGTGGGTGTCAGTCCTCAGACAGGGAGGCTCAGGCCTCTCTGGATCTGCTGCCCATAGATGACTCAGTGCCCAGCAGTGACTTGGGCAGCACAGGAAAGCTGGGGTACAAGTGTGTATCCCCAAACATCTCCAGGAGGGCAAGGAACCCCCGTTCTGGGTGGCAACAGAGTGGCACACATCCCAAAGATAGCCTGCACCAGGGGAACATAACATGGCCAGAGGCTGACCCTCAGCTCTGACCCCCTGGGGGCCCTCCCTCCGGGAGCTCCTTCATGCGAGGCCGGAGTTGCACCCCACTCTCTTCAAACCTGTAGGAGGTCTGAGGTCCCTGGTTTTAAAGATGTTTTGTGCTGATTTGTTGGAAGAAAGGATTCAGCAGCAGCTTAAGAAGCACGTAACGGCTGCGTGAGGGATGGACCACGAGGGGAGGCAGAGACTTCCTGACCACTGAGTGACAGCAAGGACAGGACCTGGGTGTCAGGGCGTAGAGGGGTCCAGTGCCTCTGCTGGGGAGGTTCCCTGAGGACCTGGCTCCGAGCAGAGCGTCGGGGAGGTCCGCGACACTGGGGAGGACACGGGGGCTGAGTGTGTGGGTGCTGTGCTGTCCCCTTGTGTTCACCCCATTCTATCTCATGCCCAAGCCTGTGAGGGATGATTTCCCACGACACAGAGTGTGTGGGACAGCAGTCCTCAGAGCCAGAGGGAAACTGCTAACCTGGAGGGGTGGACAGGGCTTTGTCAGCACAGGGTTGAAGCCAGGGGCCAGTGACCCTCAAAGAGGCCGTGTGCCTGTGTATTCTGCGACTGGCAGGGTAGGACAAAGCCAGGCCCAGCCCTGCTTTGTCAGCAGAAAGGGACGTGCTGCCTTGGGGAGAAAGAGGAAATGGATTCTGCCCCCCCACCCCATGTCACTGGGGGTGCCAGCAAGCTGTCTGCTCAGGACGAGGCCCAGCCGACCACTGCCTCATCGTGTCCCCTTCCTCCAGGACACGTGGTGTCTGCTGCAGTATCCAGTGAGCTGGGTGACACGGCCTTAGTGAGCGCGGCCCTGGGGGCAGCGAGAGTGGGCATGTGGTCGGGCAAGTTGGCGTCAGACTGCAGCTGTGCCTTGGCAGGGCTTTGTCCCGCTGCCAGCCTCCAGCCTTGGCCCCAGCTCTGGTGTGTAAAGAGCCACACGGTCAGCACACATCCATTCCCTGGAGGCCTACTTCGTGTACAGCTGTGTTCTGGGCACTGGAGGTGCCACAGTGGACACACAAAGCTCCTGCCCTGGGAGATTGCAGAGCTGGGCGGGAGAGCCACGTTCCCCGAGGCGTGTCCTGCCCCCAAGTGCAAAAATAGTTGGTTATTCCACAAGCTGCAGATTAAACATGTCCCCAAAGCTCTCTCTTGCCAAGGTAACGAGGGCTGGGAGGCTGGGGTTTGGCAGGTGACTTGGTTAGGAGGTGGAGGGCCACGCCAGGATTAATGATGTTATTAGAGGTCCCAGGGGTCCTCACCCCTTCTACTGTGTGAGGCCATGGCAAGCAGGAAGAGGCCCTTGACCAGAGTCCAGTTGGCCTGGGCCTTGGGCCCCCAGACGTGTCTCTGCCTGAACAATTTCTGTGCCCGTGATTCGCTGCAGGAGCCAAGCTAAGACTGCATGAGAGCTGCCTCCCCAGAGACCAGGTGCCTGCAGGCCACCTCTCATGAGAAGCCATGTGCAAGGCGAGGCTGCAGCCGGGTGGCCACCGACCTCTAGGGCCCTGTCTCTGGGCCAGGGGCATCGCTTCATGGACCTGTCACCACAATGGGGATTGGTCTGGTCACAACCCCATCACACCTCCCAGAGTGGTGCCCATCCCGAGTCCCTTGTGGGTGACTGAGGTCAGCCTGGGACTCAGCTGGCCCTGCATGCTGGATGACGTCCCCGCCCTGCTCCAGATGGCCTCTTCCTCCTGCTCCAGCACCACTCAGGCCCTGCAGCCTCTGGCACCCAGAAGACCAGGCCCCAGCACCAGGGAAATCAGACCGTTCAGGACACTGCCCGTGGTCCCAGATGCTCTGTGATGGTGACTCCAGTTTCTACTGAGCCTGAACCCTTGGCTGCCTACTTCAGGTGCACACGGTGACAGCAGCAAAGGGCAGATGGGAGAAGCCACATGCTGCCAGCAGCCCCAGCAGGTCCACAGGAGTCGGGCACGGGCAGTGTTAGGTGCAGGCCAGCACCCAGGCCAAGGGCTGCTGGGGACGCTGGGGACGTGGCAAGCCATGGGGGCCATGGAGGCTTGGGCAGGTGAGGAGCCCAAAGGAGCTGCCAGTCTGAGGCCTGTCCTGCAGCCAGGGGCCTCCATTCGCCAGCAGGAGGGCTGTGAGCCGAGAGCTGGGCACAGACACATGTCCCTGGGAGTCAGCCCTGTGACCAGAGGGTCTGACACCAGCATCCCCAGCTTGAGCCGGACTCTGAGGCCGGAAACCTCCAGGTGGTCATGGGCACCCTCTGCCAGGAGGAAAGAATTAAGGCTGGGAAATCTGAAGTAGGTCTGAAGGAAGTTCAGAGAAAAATCAAAAACCATCCAATCCCAACTTTCAAAACCTGGAAAATAACGCTAATCATCCCAAGATTCCGAGTCAGCACTTTTATGAACTGGTGGCCTGAGTAACGAGCCACACACAGCCTGGGGCCTTTGCAGAGGGTCCTGTGAACCGCGCTCTGAACCACGTGGCCCTCCTGGCTTGGCAGGCCAGCTCCCAGCAGTGAGCCTGAGGCATGTCCCCTGTGCCGGGTAACTGGTGACATGATGAGGACCCAGGGCTGAGAAAGGGGCTGCGGGATTGGGAGGTGTTTCTGCTGCCCCCTGGTACTCTGCTTTGGGGAGGACATGCCCATCCTGTGACATGGCCTCTGCCCTGTGCTGTCCAGTCCCAGAAGTTTACCACCCCTGCAACCTGGCCTGAGCCCTGGAGGCCTCCCGCCAGGCCCGCCCGAGTTAGATGGTCTGCAGCTGTGGCCCCAGGGCTGCACGAGCCCCCTGCATGCCTCAGGCCCCGTGTGGTCAGCCATGATGAGGAGGGCGGTGGTGCCCAGTGGAAAAGGATGGGGTCCCAGCCCCCCACAGCTGCAAAGTCGCCTGCACATTTATGAAGCTGTAACTGCCTGCGCACATTGCTGAGCCCGCGGCTTAACCTGCCGCTGCTTGGCGTGGAGGACCCTCTCTGGACCCGGGAAGGCACCGGAGGCCCGGCTCCTCCTCCTCCAGCCACAGAGCAGCCGTCCAGGCCCGCATTGTCATGGAGCTGCGCTGGACTCCAGCTGGCGGTCTCCATCCTCCAAAGGGGCTGCTGACCAGGGCACAGAGGACAGGAACACAAGAGCAGGCTCTGCTCCCCAAGAAGCAGCATTTACAAAGTGAGCGTGCCGGCTAGGAGTCAGAGTGCGGAGGGCCCACGCTGCATCTGGGTGAGGCAGGAAGTGAGACCCTGGCCTGGGGCTGACCCGTCGACCTCTAAGTGTCCTCTCCACCCACCTCGCAGACCAGAGATTGCAGCCGCAGCAGGGCTGCCTGGTGGTTGAGGTCACTTGGCTCAACTCTCCATGGGCCCCAGGCCCAGAGGAAGGACAGAAATAGAAGGCCCATAGGGCCCAAGTGGGTTCTTGGGTCAGCCAGCAGCCCCCTCTGCCTCCCATCTGGAAGGACACAGGGTGCAGGTCCCGGCCTCCCTGTGACCTGCCGCTGCTGCCCACAGCTGTGCTGAGAAGTCAGGACACCCAGGGCAGGGCCAAGGGGACTGGCAGGGTACGTCTTGAAGAGAGGCTGTGACCGGCTCTGGGAGGGCTGGCAGAGACCAGCTGGGGCTCCCGGCCCATCCCAGACACGGGGAGAAGCAGCCAGAACGAAAAGGTGACCCCACCGTGGGTGGGGGCTGGACAGGTCACCCTGGCTACTCGGGGAGGACTCACTGTGTGAGGCCCTGGTCCTGGCCACTGTCCTCACAGCAGGCACTGGGTCCCCACCCTCAGCCATGGCCTCATGGCACATGGTGCCTGCTCACCCTCAGCACAGGACTCAGGGCCCCATGGGAGCCCTGGTGGTGACGGTGACACTGATGATGCTGTGAGACCCAGGCCTGACAGGTCGACCCTCGACCCCAGCAGCCAGGGAAGAAGAGGAGACGCCATGGCCATGGCCTCCCTGTCGGTGAACGGGAACCCACCGGCTGGCGTGCTGGGGGCCAGGCAAGTCCTTGAGGAGCAGAGGGACCTCGGGGTGACCCTCAGCCATGCTGCCTCCGCCTTGGCTGTGGGGTGCTGTGCTGGGAGGGACTTCCCCGGGCCCTTTCTCCAGGAACACTTGCAGTGCGGGGAGGTCGAGGCCGGTGGCTGGGAGCTCGCCTGGCCCCATGCGGGAGCCTCGCTTGCCTCGTCCTCCGCCTTCCTGCGCCTGCCCGTGGGCTGCGCCTGCCCGTGGGGCGCGCGTGCACATGTGGGGACATCTTTGTGTGGGCAGGATCCTGTCCAGGCCCTCACCACGCCTGCTCCCTCAGTGGGCACGTTCCTGCCCTGCGTGGGCTGGGCTTTTGCTCCTCGAGTGTCTCTGAAGGGAGCTGGTCTGACCCTCCCCAGGCCAGGTGAACCCCTTCTCTACCCCTTCTCGTCCCCGTCTTGGGGAAGGCAGCCTGTGCCCGCTGTGTGAGGCCTGGTCCTGCCACTGTCCTCACAGCTCCGGTGCCTTTCCCACCCACAGTCCCCAGCTGCACATGGATCTCTGGGCGGGTCTCTCCCTGCACGTCACACTGTCCTGGGATGAAGCCTTCAGCTTGACAGAAGTCCCCGAGTGCACTCACTGCAGAACTGTTATGCCTGCTCCCAGCCCCCGGGAGAGGACGAACCCAGGCCCTGGGTGTGCTTGGTTCTTTACTGCTGTGCCGCTGTGGCTCCCAGTGACCACATAGGGCTTAGCCAGCAGACACACAAGTCCACATGTCCAAATAAACAGGACGGCAGGACGCTGGCAGGCCCCTGGGTAGAGTCCGCAGTAATGAAGCCCCGGCCCTGGGCTTTTCAGGCACCTAAGACACCAAGGCGGAATTACCCGTGGGCTCCACCTGCCTGCAGTCCCTGGAGCCTCCTGGGAGGAAGGCAGGGGCCACTGTGGTGGCAGGCAGATGAGGCAGAGGAGCAGCCCCAACCAAGGCACCTTCCCTGCCACCAGCAGGGCCGTCGCACCACAGCACTTCTGGGCCAGGCTGGGATGTCTCGGGAAGAGAGCACGGCCTGGGGCGGGAGGGGCCTCAGCCTCAGGGCAGGGGTCTGTGCAGGGAGCCATCCTCTACCTGGTGGTATGTCTGTGCAGGAGGTGACAGGGTCTCTGGGTTGGGCCTGGGAGACAGCTGGGCCCAGAGTGCAGGAGAGGCCTGCATCTGCAGGACCCTGAACTTCTGAGCAGAATCACAAAAAGCAAGGTCCAGGAGAGGCCATGGTGCAGTGGTGCAACGGTGAGCTGCAGCTTTGGGTTTAGGGCCCGTGCGGGCAGTGTAAGTGCAGGAGGCCAGGCTCCCCCAGGGCCTGAGGCTGGCCAGACACCCTTCACATAGGCTGCTGCGCTGCCCCAGGGTCAACACCACTGACTCCTGGCTCTCCTGGACGCTGGATGTCCAGACCCTGACTTATCATTCGGGGAAGGAGCTTAGGGGCCACAGACAGGCACGAGGAGGACCCCCGTCACCCTGAGCTGACGTCCGAGCTGGCTTCACACCTCCCACAGGGGGAGACCGTTGGAAGCTGGCCAGGAAGTGGGGGTTGGAAGAGAGAAGAGGCAAGGGCCAAGACCGCCCTGCCCCGGGCTGGCCACAGGGCAGTGGTGTTGGGGTGAGCCACCCTCAGGCTGGCAGGCGCAGACGGAGGCACCTGTGGATAGTGTCTACACCACAAACTCCTGCAAGGACGCGCCCTCCCTGAGCAGGTCCAGGGAGAGACAGTTCATGGACCTCTTGCCACCGAGGGCAGCCCTGGCCTCCTGGGGCACCAGCAGCCCTGCCAGGGCGCAGCTGAAGGCACAGGTATGAGAGGCAGGTGCAGGGCGAGGGGCTGGCTGCAGCTGATGCGTGTGGTCCAGGCTGCGGCTGTGCAGGGCCTCCCGGCCGCTGGGCTCCGCCTCCCGGACCTGCAGGGAGAAGCCACCCAGGGCTCTTTACTCAGCAGCGGGCGCCAGCCTGTGCCCCCTGCTGGGTGTGCTCTGCCTCTGGCAGGAGGACTGGACCCCTGCAGGGCTCCCACTGCCTGGCACGGCCTGAGGCCCACCTGCCCCCGCCCGGGGGGCCCTGCTCCGGGTGCTCGAGGCCCCTGACTGCAGCAGCAGCAGCTCTGCTTCAACCCTGCTGCGCCTCCCCCCCCTGCCACCCTCCACCGCCAGGTCCTCTGCTACCATCACACAGCCCCTGGCTGGCCTCTGCTGCGGCAATCGGGTGGTGGGTCCAACCGAGGGCTGTCCCAGAGAGACCCCACACGTGGCAGAGGGGGATGGAGGGAAGAATGGGGACAGTCACATACATGGCCACCTGTGGGCCACACATGGGTCACATGCAGGCCACACTGCCCAGCCTGGACCTAGGGGCCCTACCTTGTGTAGGACCTCGGCGCTCTGGCCTCTGGTCCTGGCCAGCGGGACCTGCTCCACCGTGAAGGGCCCCGAGCAGGAGGCTGAGGAGGAGGAAGGGGCCTGAGCGGGGCTGGCAGGGCCCGTCCTGCACCTGCAGCTGCAGCCGCCCGCCCCAGTGCTGTGTCCTGGGGCCCCGACTCCTCGTGGCCAGCAGGCGAGGCGGTCTGTGGTCTCACAGTGTCCACTGCGAGGTGGTCCTGTGTGTCCCGGGCAGCCCAGGGCATCGGGTTCCACCGACACAGGACCCCTCTCCTTGCCCCACCTGGCTCCATCAGGAGGGGAAGGTGAGCAGCCCCAGGAGGCCCAGGACCTCCCCAGAGAGCCGGGGCCCCAGCCTGCCCAGTGCACGTCTGTGTTGAGGCTGGGGAGAAGCCAGGCCTGGGTGGTGCTGGCCACTTTTCCCCAGTAGCCCTCCCTGTCCTGTGGCCTTGTCCGCTCCAAGGCAGACAGAACAGACTTCTCCAGGCCAGGGGGGTGCTGTGGTCACTTCTACTGGGTCGGTCCAGACATCAGAGGTGAAGCCAGCAGTGGACACGGGTTGGTGACAGATCTGCCGACCCTGGGCAACCCCAGATGACTGTGGCTGGCCTTAGGTGACACCAGGCGGCGCTGGGTGGTACATTCGGGCATGTTCCCAGAGAGTCACTGTGACACGCAGCCTGGCCTCTCCCCGCATATGGCACTAGGGCAGGCCAGGCTCTTTACTACCTCATTCTTCTCAGCCCACCTTTGCTGCCCCCGCTGTCCCTGAAGCTGATGGACGGCATCTTCCTGCAGAGGCCCTCAGCAGCTACGGGCTCATCCACAGACACCTCCCCAGATTCCGCAGGCTGAGAGTCGGCCTCTGTGCCCAGTGTGTGGCCGCTGCCGTGGCTGTCAGCAGAGCTGAGCGAGAGGCGGCGGTGGTGGTGCGGGCCAGTGTCCCTCCTGTGCCTGCTGGCCAGCTCTGGGTCCAAGTCCAGCGGGTCGCTGATGTAGGCCTCCTGGTAGCGCTTCTTCTCTGCAGGGCGTGGGGGACAGATGTAGAGCTGGGTTTGGAGGCAGGCGGAGCCCAGGCGTGGAGGAAGGCCTGGCCCCGGGGACAGGGCCCACAAGGCTTTTCCTGGGGCTTTCTCGCTGTCTCAGGCTACAGGCTCATCCTGAGCATCCCTGATGTCACGGCCACCCAGGACAGGGCTGGTGTCCCCTAGGGCTGCCTCATTACACAGGACAAACACATCTGTGCAAGCTCACCCCCCTATGCAGACACACATGTGCTCCCACCCGTGCTCTGTGACTGCAGTGTGCACACGTGACTGTCTCCCGGTGCTCTCTGAGGACACAGAACAGTCCCCAGGTGAAGACTGGGAGAGTGAGACCAGGCCTGGCACAGCACTGCAGCCAGGTCTTCACGTGGCCTTGATTCTGCACAAGGGACGATGTGAGGAGTCGGAAAGGGGGCTTCCGGAGCCCGGGCAGAGCTGAGCCGCCCTCACCTTGCCTGCACCCCACCCTGATCTCTAGGCTCCTGCTGAGGTCACCACCACCCTTCACCCGGAGCGTCTGGGGGACAGGAGCTGAGAGGCCACTGGCCATTACGGGAGAACCCTTTTGCTGAGCCCAGGGTGGGTGGCCCAGGTCCTGGGCAAGTCCTAGGGACAATCTGCTTCATCTCCACCCCTCAGAGGGGGTGAGCAGCTGTCTGCTAGGTGCCCAGACCCCAGCGGGGAGGTGCCACCTTGAGCCTCATCCAGCAGCTGCAGCCGCTGCAGCAGGGGCTTCACACCGAGGTAGAACTGGTGGCTGGAGCGGAGCAGCCAGAGCAGGTGCCGGGAGCGCCAGGGAGAACCCGTGCAGAAAACCAGCTTCCGGGATGGGGGCAGCCCAGCCGGCTGGATCTCCAGCTTCTTTCCCTGAGTAGACAGAAGGGACAATAGCTGTGGCTGTGTACGTTGAGAAACCCCTCCAGCCATAGGAAGGACATCACGTGGCCCTCTAACTGGGCGACGGCCAAGGTCCCCCTTAAAGATCTGTCTTCCGTGAGCAAACGGATCTCTGTGGTCACTGGGATCAGGAGGCTGTCTGACCTTAGCCACGAGAAGGCAGCCCTCTATGCAGACCCCTGCCTTGGCTGGGTGAGGGTGCAAGTGTCCAGGGTGGGACCTAAAGGGCTGAGTCTCCCTGTCCATTCTACCCAGTGGCCCTCACTCTCAGTCACAGGGGGCCCAGGGTGACAGCTCCGGAGCCGGATGAGAGGGGCAGAGGCGGCACAGGTGTGCCTCTAGGACCCACTCGGGAGCCAGAAGTCACATGGAATGAGAGGGGCGTCAGGACCTCCCTTCACATCTCAGCCACTCGCCCAGTCCCCGCAGGGCCCTGCCAGCACAGCTGCGAGGGTGAGCATGTCCAGAGCACCCGGGGCTGTCGGGAGCAGGAGGAAGGGAGCCTGCACCTGCCCCGGAGGACGGAGATGCCCTTGCAGACACCCACCAGAAAGGCCAGCTTCCCGATGCAGGGCCAGGGCAAGTCGTGCAGCAGCTGCGGAGCGTGGCTCACCTCCTGCAAGACAGAGGCACTGAGTCCAGGAGGGCGGCCAGGGCGGGCCTCCGGGGAGGGGCGGGCCCCTCTCTCACCTGATAGATATGCATTCCCTTGAGGGTGAGTCCCAGAAGGAAGGTGGGGTGCTCACGCTTCTTATCCTGGAAGGAGCAAGAGGTGGAGGCCCTGGGCCTGGGGTGGCGAGAAGCCAGAGACCACCATGCCCCACCCAGCTCTGTCCTGGACCCTCCCCTGGCCCTCTGTGTGCTGGAGCTGTCCCTGCCAATTGCCCAGGCACTGCCTCAGTCTCCATTCCCCAAACGTGTCTGAACCCCTTAACCTGCCCCGAGAAACCTCCACCCAGTCCTCTCCGCAAAGACTGAGCGCTGTGTCACCTGTGTGCCTGGCCGGGTGGACACAGGGGCCAGGCCCGAGGCCCCAGCACTAGACCCCAGTCAGAGCAACCGTGGCTGAGCCAGCAGGCTCGGGGTCCCCAGTCCCTCGGGGTTCGCTGGAGCCCTGCGGAAGCTCTGCACACCACCTCTGGACAGCCACCAGGGAACACATTCCCTCCCTCACCACACCAGCCTGTCCTGAGGACCTCGGTCCCCAGGATGGTTGGTCACACTGTCACCCGTGGGGACTTTGTCCAGCTCTGCTCTGGGATCCAGGTTACAGTGTCCTCTGCAGGGGACTCTGCCTGCCCTGTCCTAGGGTCCCAGCACGCTGTCAGCATGGGGGCTCTGTCCCTCCCCTGTCCTGGGCCCCAGCGCTCTGGGCCCAACCTTGTACAGCCTGAAGAAGTGGACAGGCACGTCCTCGAGCTGACAGGCGTCCCTGATGAACCTCAGCACAGCTGCCTGGGGGCTCAGCTCCTGCTGCTCGCGGTGCACGGTGGGCACGTGCCGGAGGATATAGTCGACACCCCTCTTGGCAATGACCTGAGGACGGGCCCAGGTCAGCTCCACCCCCCCTTCCCTCCCCTCCCCTGAGTTGGCCTCCTCCTTGGGAAGCCTCCCAGCCTCCTGCCATTGCAGAGGACCTCCCCAGCTGCAGCCGTCCTGCTGTCCAAGCTGGGGACACAGAGAGGAGTGTGTGGAGTTCCCCAAAGCACCCAGGAAAGCCCCTCTCTTTCTGGGCCCCCCAGTGCCCACCACAGAGACCCAGAAACAAGCTGATTCCAGGTGGCAGTGTGCGCCCAACAAGCCTCGACTCCCCGTACGGCTCCCAGCGGCCCAGGAGGAGGCTACGTCTGTGCACGGGGTGAAACCTGAGGGACGTGCATCTGAGGAGGGCCAGCCGTGTCCAGAGGGACGGGGTACCTGGAGGACTGCACCCAGCCCTGGGCACAGTGACCAGTGTGCAGAGTGGACAGTTTCCAGCTGCTTGGGGCAGCCAAGGAACAAGGAGACGCCCACAGGGAGGGAAACTAGGACTCTGCCCAGGGCAGAGGCCACTGTCCCTGGAAGGACAACCCAGTGCTCAGTGCCTCCACGAAGCCAAGCACAGTGCCCGGGGCTGGGAACACAAGGTGGACTCCTCTGCTCCCTGACCCCCCTCCTCCAGGGCACCAAAGGGCTGAAGCACGGGCGTGAGTGGCCCCTAAAGGGCCCTGGGATACCTGGAGAGAAGGGGCAGGTGGGCTGTTCTTCCCAGCTGGGCAGGCCCAGCGGCTCAGAGGAGGAGAGCCACTGTCTGCAGGTCGCACAGCTGGCCGAGTGTGCACAGGAGCACCGGAGTCTGCCCTGGCACTGGTCCACGCGGCCACACGCCTGCCTCGGGCTCCCCCAGGTTTCCCCACCCTGCCCCTCCCAGCTCTGCAGCCTCCCCTCTGCATGGACCCCATAGAGTCCTGTTGGGGACAGTGTCAGTGACCCCCCCAGGAAGGGGCCAAGGGGTCCTTACCCACTGTGGGAAATAGGCCTGTGGCTCGAAGTACCGCCCCACGTGCGGCGGCTTGCGGTGGCTGCCCAGGTCGGCCTGCAGCGCGAGGGCGGCCAGCAGGAAGTAGGCCTCCTCCCTGTGCGTGCACTGGGACCGCAGCACCCGCTCCTTCAGGCTGCAGTAGTACAGGTGCCGGGCCACCTGGTCACTGGAAGGCAGCAGAGCCCGGTGGGGTCCAGGGCACCCAGCCTCCCCTGTTCACAGCCTTGTCTGACACAGGGCAGTGCCGGGCGCACCCTTCTCCGTGAGCAGAGAGCTGCCACCCCCAGTGGGGCCCAGCCAGGCCTGGCTGCAGCCTTCAGCAGCCCGGACCCCGGAGGGAAGGGCCTGCCCGAGGGCTCAGGCGCAGCGGCACCAAACCCGGTTCCCTGAGCCCACTGCCCAGTGCCGTCAGCCGGCCACAGCTCCAGGACCAGGCGGGCTGCCCGGGGGGCCTCCCCTAGGTCTCCTAATACAGCTGGGCACTGCCCTCAGCCCACCTCCCGGTTCCCCAGAACCTGCACCCTCCCCCTCCCCCTCTGGGATCAGCCACCTCCTGCCTTCTCAGAGTCCCCAGCCCTCTCTCTGTCTTGCTGAACATCAGGGTTCCTGGTTGTCCTGCCAGCTCTGAGGCGGCCATCTGAGGGAGGCCACCGCCCCTGTCCTGGGAACCCCTCCTGCCACGTCTGCACAGGTAAAGGCCCAGTCAGGCCCCACACTGCACCAACATGGCTGTTCTGAGGCACACGCAGACGGCTTGGCCCCTGTGACTTGGGTGTCCTTCCAGGCAAGGTCCTGGACACCAGGAGCAGTTACCTCATGACCCTCCCGTTCTCCACGTAGTACTGCACTCTGAGGGAGGTGACGAAGGGCGCCCGGGGCCTCCAGCCTCCCTGTTGGGAGAGGGTGAGGAAGAGCGGCCTGGGCATCTCCCTGCGCCCGGCCTTCCCGGGGTTTTAGGAGCTGCGACACTCAGTATCTCATCCTACTCTTCTAAGGGGAGAAGGGAGCCTGCCGAGGACGTGGGGACAGCAGTGTGCCTGCCAGACAAGCCCAGATGAGGCGGGGGCCCAGCAGGGAGAGGGGCCTTCGGGCGCACTCCTGCCGCAGGCCCTCACGGCTCAGCCTGGCCGCAGCCCACTTACTCGCGGCCCTCTCTTCCAGTCCTCTGAGAAGTACTTGCTGAGCCTCAGCTCCAAGTCCATGAATACGTGCTCACTGTCTAGAAAGGAAGGGCTTCGTCAGCAACGCGCCTTCACCCCCGAGGGCCTCGAGCCGGGGCAGCTCCTCCTCTGGCTGACCTGGTGTGGGCTGCTCCCTTGGGCTGGCTGCGGGGACAGCCCTGTCAACCGCTGCTGGTTACCTGCATGGCCTTCCCAGGGAGGGCTGGCGCACTCACAGCCTTCCGGGAGGCATGAGGGTGAGCGGCGGGGTCCCTGGCCCAGCCACAGAACAAGAGGGACCCTCTAACCTGCCCACGCCAACAGACGCCAACCACCAAGTGCACCGTGGGCCCAGTGGCTGGGAGGGGTGCTGGGGACGCTTCTGCTGAGGGAAGCCTTGCTGTGACACTGGGGCAGGACAGTGGGCTTCCTGTGGAAGCTGGAGGGGGAGGCTGGGGGCTCCCTCCACGGTCACAGGCTCCGTGCCAAGGCCTGAGGTGCACAGCTCCAAGTGAACCGAGGAGGAAACGTCCCCCGGGAGCCACCGAGGAGCTGCTGGGCGACGGTGAGGGCAGTGTGCTGCAGGCCAGTGTCACCGGCTGTCCCTGGCAGTTTTATCCCGTTCTGCCCACTTAGCACATCCCAGTCCAGCTGCCACCTTCAGACACCCGGCTGGACATGGCACTGGGACCAGCAGTCCTGCCCAGGTAGAGAGAGGGCTGAGTGTGCCCGGAAATGTCCGGAGGCTCCCCGGGGGCCAGGGCTGGGGGCCCAGGCCTCCCGACTCTGCCTGGCCTGCCTCTGTCTCCCCCAGAGCCCCACGGACCTGACAGACAGCGGGCTGGGGTCCAGCTGAGCTCCCAGGCTCACCAGGGCCAGGAATTAGGGGCTGAGCTGTGTCCCCCAATGTCAGAGCCCTGACCCCGGGGCCTCAGGGACTGCTCCACCAGAAACGGGGCATGGACATGCAGCACAGAGGGACAGCAATGCAAAGACACCGGGAAGGAGGCAGAGAGGACACAGGCGGGAGAGGACCCCAGGAGCCACCAGGGTCACGTGTATCTCTCCCAATTCTGTCCCTAACACATCAGACTTTGAACCCTGCGGCCCGGCTGGCGGCCGAGAGCCCATCTGCTCTGAGCGACCTCGGCCTTCCGCTGTCCAGTGACGCTCTTCGTGGTGCGGAGCCTGATGCATCTGAGATTCTTTTCTTGGACTGGAAGGTCCCAGCAGAGACCTCCTTGAGCCCCCACGGAGGCACAGCTTCTCCCCCACGGCCTGAGTCTGGCCAGCCCTGACCCTGGTCCCTGGCTCTCTGGGAAGATGGTCTCTGCCCTGGGGTCAGACAGCCCTGCCTCCCTGACCAGGTCACTTCCTGAGTCAGGCCTTATTTTCTTGCTTGAAGGAAGCAAACTGTCCTTTGTACGAGATGTCCTTTGGCAGGTGACTAGGAAAGCCTGTGGCACATCCAGAGAGTGGAGGGTCAGTCACTGATGACGAGGACTCAGCCCCCAGCTGTCGAGGGCGTGGCGCCGATGTGACTGCTTGTCACCAAGGGAGAGCCGTCTGGAGGGGCAGCACTGGGGACAGGGCAGGGACTCAGCAGAGGACCCGCGGTGGTGGGGGTGGGTAGGGAGGGCTTCAGGGCCATGGCACTGCTGGGTGACACCGAGGGCACTGCACAGTGTCTGACACCAGGGGTGAGCCTCATGTCACCGTGGACTCTGGGTGACACGGACGTGTCCCTGTAGGTTCCTGTTGGGATGTGGACACTGTGGGTGGGACGTACATGAGAAATACTTTTTCCTTCTGCTCAGTTTTGCTGTCACCTCAACCTGCTCCAAAAAATGACATGTTAAAGTCCTGAAGCCCCCTCCAAGTGTGACTCCAGCCTCCTGAGGCAGGAGGGCCCGCAACAAGCCTGCAGTCACTCAGGCCCAAAGGGAGGTCTCCTCTTGCCCCTGGTGACTGGACAGACACCGGCACCCGAGGTCTTGCAGATGGCCCTAGGAGCAAGTGCCTGGTGACTTCCTGTTCACTCCCCACCATCTGGGCAGCAGGGAGGGCTGGAAAAGCCCCAGGACCCTCTGGGAGCTCCTGCTCCTGTGGCCAAGGGTCCCATGGAGCCCTGTCGAGGGGTATTGCACACGCACCCCCTGAAGCCCAGTCCCACTGGTGATCCCGCACACTGGGACACTTAGGAAGTGCAGCCAAGAGCGTGGTATGTCCCAGTGACCGGGAATGGCAGTGAGGACCTGCCCACCTCGGAGGCCTCCCCACCTCTCTGCCCAGGGAGAGTTGTCCTCTCAGGCCACAGACGCACCAGGGCGCCCTGGAGCCCAACCAACGCCTCTGGAGGAGTGAAGGACCTAGGCCTCCCGCGGAGCCCTTGCCTTCTATCTAGTGCAGACGGCAGGACACCCAAAGCCACCAGGCGGACTGAGGAGCTGACCCACGCGTTCCTGCTGGCCAGGGAGGTGGGGCCTGCCCGGTCTCTGTCTGTGTCCCACCTTCCCTACTGCCAAGCCCCGGCTGCCGGTGGAGGTCCCGTCCCTTGCTGTGTTACCAAAAGTGTGCACCAGTCACCACGCCTGAGGCAACTGAAGCAAGGAATCCAAGGTCCTGTTCAAAAGTCCACGTCTCCCAAGTAAGGGCTCTGGCCATGAAGGGTGCCAGTGGCCCTGGGCTGAGCTCCAAGATGGACAAGCTCAGTGGGCTGAGCCTCGGCCTCGGCAGGTCCCATGTGCAGGAGGGAGAGCCTGTCTTCACCCGGGAGCAGGGAACCCCAATTTCTTCCTTAACCTGCCCTGCCCACTTGCTCCTGGGGCCGGCAAGATTGGTGGCAGGCCATCTCAGATGGCCAACAGGAGAGGAGATGGAAGACAGGTCTGGTGGAGGTGGCTGCCTTCCAGCTGGTTACCTGCCCTGCGACACTCCCAACAATCCCTGTGTGTGCACCTGGATTCCTCGCAGTGGCCACTGTGCCCGTCCACAGGAGCCGAGCCTCGGCAGTTCTGCTGCAAGGCCTCGACCTGGGCTGACCCTGGCTGAGGGCCTCCCGTGACGCGTCCACCTCACAGGTGTGTGCTCCATGGTACACACACATGCTGAAGGCCTGTGAGCTGGTCCCTAAGGTGTGGGCAGCTCACGGTATGGACCTTGAGCCTCAATCAGAAGGACAGAGGTCCTGAGCTGCTGGCTGTGTTCACACTGTGGGCTCTGGCCCCCTGCAGGGGCGGCCCCCGGGGCCTGGCGCGGTATCACCAGGGCTTTGATTCACTCTTCGCTTTAAGGCCTGGGGAGTCCCTGACCAGCAGGAAGCCGAGCACCTCTGGGCCACCAGGGAGAAGCACCCCGTCCTACAGCATGTGGGTTGTTCCCCTGCCCACTGTGACTGGCGGACCTCCTTCCTGGGGACCCGCCCGGCACTCCCAGGCCCCACCCTCAGGTCCTTGAAATCAGGCTGCGTCTGCACAGGCACCCACCTTGGCCCCGAAACTGTCACACTCCCCACCTGACAGAGCCCAGCAGGCTGAGCGGGCAGCTGTGTGTGTCATCCGCATGTGCTGGTGCACAGAAATGTACACATCACACACGCATGTGAGCACCACACACCTTAGACCACAGGCTTACACATCACACATGCACACACCTCAGGCCACACACGGACACACCACACGAGCACACATCGCATACCACAGGCCATGCATGACCACGCCACACGAGCACACACCACAGGCCACACATGGGCACACCACACGTACACACGCCACACGCCACAGGCATCGCACAGACACACCTCACACCGCACACTCTCAGAACACTGCACACCACCGACCACCCACTTTGCAGCACACGTGCACACACTGACACACCCCAACACCCTGTCTGTGGTAGTCCGCCCAGAGCCTGACCCCAGAAGCCCAGCAACAACGGGGTGGGGTGCGGGGAGCAGGAGGGCCTGAAGGTGGGGACGGGAGCACGGCTCACCTCTGACCACGCTGAGGCCAAAGAAGCGGGCCTCCCGGAGGCCCAGCACGCTGCACACCTGCTGGAACAGCTCCCGCGCCGTGGCCCTCACCTGCAACAGGGGTGGTGCTCAGGGCGGCCAGGACTGCCCCGGACAGGCTCAGGGGACCCCGCTTCAGGACGTGAGCAGTGGCTTGTGCTCAGGGCCAGGTCACTCACGACCCCACAGAGCTGCCTGGGAGAGGGAGATGGAGGGGTGCCCCTGGATTGGACAGAGCACCCTCCACCCTCCCCATAATGTGCACCACCTGGGGGCCCGCCTGCTAGATCCTCCTTACCCCACGCAAACATGGCCCTGACCACCCCGGAAATGGGCATCTGTGCATGGGGAAGACACCTGATTTTCAAGGGAGGGGGCCGAGGAGGGGCTGACAACACCCAGGAACACACTGCCTGCCCAGCGCTCTGCAGATCTAACTAGCAGTCCCTGTGCACAGTCTGAGCCAGGCCCCAGGCCCCCGAGGACACGCTTCACCGTGCAGTCTGTGCCTCAGCCAGCGTTAGTCATCGGGTACACGACTCCTACAGCTGGCCCTGGGCAATCCTACACTACACCCCCAGACACCACCGGGCAGGCCTCACGCCCGGGGCCAGTGTCCATGCTGCTGCCCAGGAGGGTGCATTCCTCGGCGCGCAGGTGAGGACTCTGTCGACGGCACGTCCTGCGGTCTGCTTCCCGTGGTCCCAGCGTGGCTCCCTGACGGGCTCTTCACAGCGATCTCCTCAAACCCCTTTCCCGTGCCAACCCCTTATGCCTACTTATTGACTCCAAGCCTATAGAAGCTCCCGTGCTGGGTCTGGGTGACGTCCCTGCTCCAATCTGTCCTTGAGCTTCCTGCGTGGAAGCCCCTCAGATGCCACCGGGTCCGCGGGCGGACAACACCGTGGCACCTGCAGCCACTGCTTCTGTTCAGTTTCCTGACGGACTCAGCTCCAGGCTGGCAGTGCTGTCCTCACCCCCTGCGCCTCTCTGCTGGGGGACAGCCACACATCTCCTGCTGGTGACTCAGAGAGACCGTGTGTGCCAGCTGGCTATGGTAGAGGTGTGTGACGGTGGCCCCGGGCCCCGGTGAGGCCCCTGACCTGGCCTCCACTAGAAACCCAGAGCCCCGTGACCTGGCCATCTGCTACCTGTGCCTCTGTGTCACCAGAGCTGCACGGCCTGTTCCCACTTTTCGATGACAAGTTACTGAAAGGTCGGCTCATCAGCATCCGTTAACATGGCGAGGGCCACCAGGACTGGGACGTGCACTGGGAAGGTCTTCTCAGCCCACGCTCTTCTAATGACTGGACTGGGCCACACACAGGGGTACACGGACTCCCATGATGGCTCCCACGGTCCACAGTGCCTGGCTCGCACCTGAGGGCTGGCCAGCTGTGTCCTTGCCAAGCAGAGGGCCCGACTGGGGAGGTAGGAGCAGGAGACGCTCCATGACGCCCCGAGCGTGACCTCACCCAGGGCTTCACACTGTGTTCTGGGTGCAGCCTCCGGCTGAATCTCACAGTGCAGTTCAGGGAGGGAAACAGGTAGAAGACGCCCTGGCCACACAGGAGGAGGCCCCAGCATGTCCACCGCATGCCTCAGAGGGCCCCAGGACCCTGACATCCCCTGCTCAGGTGGGTACCCCAGTGCGTGGGGCACTGCCACAAACTTAAGTGCCAGCACTTCCTACGGAAACGCAGCCCCAGGCAGACACCAGGTTCCCGGGGGACCTGAACCGTGATGTCACAGCCCGTCACTGCCTCAGAGAGCACCAAGCTGTCCACAAGGAGACCCAACACATTCCCCCGGGAGGGACCTGTCACTCTGTCAGACACCATCATTTCAATCACCATTCAAACTTACAAAGGTGAAAGGACTGCTTCCTGGTCCAGCTTAAAGCTGGGAACGGACAGCTGCTTCCCGTCTGCTCAGACGGCCTGAGGGAAGAGCCCCCCCTAGGCTGCCGCGGCTCGCACAGAGGGGCCCCACAAGGAAGCCAACCGCAGGGACCCTGGACCTGGACTAGTGAGTGCCTGGGTCAGTTCAGGGCCCGGGCCCGGTCACTTCCCTTCCTCCCCAGGGCAGGGAGTGGGGAAGGGCCGGGTCTGCAGCAAACCGCATGACCCTGCTGTCCCTGAGGTCACAGTGACCTGAGGACCATGACCTGGCAACACTGCCCCGTGATGGACGGCAGGGAGGAGCTGCAGGCGTCGAGACTGCATCCACACAGGATGCCAAAGTCCTCACAGAAGGGTCACGCGCTGGCTGCAGGTCATCTGTGCCCAGGAGACGGCCTGCTCCTTAGTGTCCCTCTCAGACCCTAAGTGCCAGGACGTGACCAGGTTGTACAGAGCGACATCTGGCAGCCTTCCGTTCCTTTATGTGGTTTTACAACCTGAAGTTTGATCCAAAAGCCGTCTGTGGAGGCCGTGGCCGGGGTCCCTGGACCACGCCGGCTCCTTCCTGCGGGCCAGGCCTCCCTCCTCTGGGGCCGGCCAGCGCTGCTCCTAGCTCTCAGTTCTCCTACCAGACGCTGTCTTGAGGGGATTCTGGTGACTCTGGTGACTTTGGGCACAGCCCTCGGCGCTGTCCTCAGATTGAAGGGGAGGGGCTTTCTATCAGCCAGGGAGGGCGTCCCACTTCTGAGGGTGACAATGTGATCCATCATCCCCAGGGGGATGGTCCGGCCATGAGGGTCCTCACCAAGTTGGAGGGGGAGGCCGAAGGGTGGGGCAGAGGTTGCAGAGTGGGAAGAGAGGCAGGGGTCCCGGGGGAAAGGCCCTGCCCGTGACAGTCACAGCCCGATGACGATGCAGGGACTTCAGAGGGGCCCTGGAGTGAAAACGCGGAGAAGCCAACATTTCCCTAAAGCCCAGTGTGGAGGACAGGGCAGGACCAGAGGGCAGCAGGGCGGAGGGGCACGCAGAGCCACCCAGGGCCTCCGGAGGGAGGCCGCTGTCCCGGGTGAACTGTGCCTCCAGTTTCCTGCTCCCGAGGCACCGTTTCTTCATCGGCCTTTCCAGTCCAGCTTCCCCCACAGGAGGGACACCCAGGGATCAGACAGGTCAACCCAGGGAGGCATGGACGCTGTGGGAGGGCCAGGCAGCCCAGGACTCTGGACGCTAAAGGGGACTGGGCAGCTCTCAGCCCCAGCATGCTACAGTGGCCCGCATCATAGTGAAGTGGTCATTTGATGTCTCCCCTAGTCCAGGTGCCCCCAGTGCACAGCTCCTTCTGTCCCCATATCAGTCTCTGGACATGTGGTCCCCACTGTCCCCCAGTCACCCTCTGGACACACACCCAACTTTCTCCTGGCCACCCCCTGGGCACATGCCCTGCTCACCCCTACTGCCAGTCGCAACTGCTTCTGGGCGGGCAGCAGCACGAGGACATCCCTGTGCTCTGAGGTCATCTTGCTGTCCCCAGGGTTGGCTCCACTGGGCTGCGTACAAGCCTCTCTCAGGACCAGCCTCTGCCGGCCAAGCTCCTGTAGGGGAGAGGAGTCAGGGTTGTCCAGGGGGAGTGAGCGGCTGGAGCCCCGCCTCCTCTGGGTGGCACCTCCGCACCACCGTCTCTGGTCTCCCCTGGTCGTCAGCTCAGGTGGACACTGGCCTCCCACTCCCAGCTGTGCCTTCTGTGCTGGTGTCTCTGGCACTCGCCGTAAAGGGCCAGGAACTTGGTGGCTGTGCAGGACAAGGGTCAGGCTGGGAGCTGGGCGTGTGGAGGATGACTGGATGCACGGTCCTGTGGCCACCTCACTGTACCTGGGCAGGGGCAGGGGCAGGGGCAAGGGCAGCTCCACTCCAGGCCACAGACAGGGACCACTGTGTGGCCCCTATAGGAAGGGCCAGGACCCCTGCACCACAAGATGTCCCCTGAAGCTCTCAGAGGACAGAGGGGCCACACAGAGCCCTGGACACAGACTCCAGTGACCAGGGTGGCCCCTGGTCACTGGAGCAGCAGGAGGGCCAGGAGGACAAGAGGCAACGGGAGAGGAACGTGCCCTGGTCCCAGGACAACACCTCCTGCTTGTACTGGCCACAGAGTTAGGAACGTGCTGAAGTCACAGCTCTTCGAGGGACCTTGCCGAGGGCCCTTTCTGTTCCGCTAGCTGGGAGCTGAGGACTCCTCTGGCCAGAGCCAGCTCATCGGCCCCCTGCAGTAGGCCGGGACAGCTAGAAGTGGGCCATGGCAGGCACATGAGGGTGTGGACTCTCAGAAGCCAGCAGTGGGATCTCTGCCATCAGTCTGAGGCCACCGTGGACTCTCCAGGCACTAACAGGGGCCCCAGGAGGCCACTGGCCGGGGCAGCCAACACTGGGGGCGTTTCAGGTCCAGGAGATTTTGGACCCATGGGCCTGGCTTGTGGACCTCTGTCCTCAGCCAGGGTTGGGGAGCCTCTTTCCCGTCCCTAAGTCTCAGGACCTCCTTGGAGAAGTCCCTCTTACTGATCCTGAGAGGCTGCTGGTGGATGAACCCAGGAGGGTCCTAAGGGGCAGCTGGCTGGTCTTAGGAGGTCCACACTCCAGCACCCTCAGGGCTATCCAAGGCTTTGGAAGATTAGAAGGCCCAGGGACAGGGGGCTCCACCTCATCTCTGCCCCCCGCCCCCTCCACTCAGGCTGAGCCCTCCCGCCCGGGCCTGCTTTCTCTGCAGGGTAATGCACGGCTCCTCGTCACAGGAGAGCACACGTCCCTTCAGCCAAGGCAAACTGCTCCGGAAGATGGACACTGGGTTCTGATCATCACTTCAGGCTAATTGCTAGCTGGATGCTGGTCAGGAGGTGGATGGTCGCCTGCCCCAGCATTTCAGAAGACAGCAGCTACTGTCTTCCTGCAGTGTCTGAGCACAGGAGGGCCCCTGGGGCCCCCGAGGCAGTGGGAACACAGGCGGTAGTAATCGGGGAGAGAGCCAGGACAGCTGGGCGGGGGTGGTCGACGGCCACAGAGCCCTGTGGTGGGTGTGGGTGCCCATGTGTCATAGGTGGTGTCTTCTCCGAGCCAAAAGGAAGAGAAACGTGTGTCGTCACTGATAAACGACCCATGGACCCCGGCACAGTGGCACGTCTCAGGCCCAGAACCCAGAGCTGCACGGGCTACCCAGAATGCCCTGCCGCCCAGCAACACCTCTGAGGGACAGTCAGGGGACACTTCATCAAGAAGACAACAGCTTTCTGTCCTTTGAGAAAACAGAAACATGGCAAGATACCCCAAATCCACAGCACCTGTAGGTACAGTTAGTTCCCTTGCTATCTGCAGGAATGGGTTCCACACACTGCCCAGAGTCCCAAGTTGGTGACATTCAAGCTCCTTGCTTAAAATGGCACTCATTTTGTGAATAACTATCACTTTGAGGTGACTTATAATGCCTGATGCAAAGTGACTGTGCCAATAGCTGGGACACCGCAGGGCTAGGAAGAGAGGCCAGGAAGCCTACACCTCCCGGCCAAACGCAGTGCTTTCCAAGTATCCTTGATCCAAACTAGGCTGGTGCACAGATGTGGGGCCACCGGAGCCCCGTGCTGACGGGGTGCACTGTCCCCTGGGCTCTTGGTCAGTTACTGGCCACGGCTGGGATTTCAGGTGTGAGGGGCTCCACATGGAGATGCCAAGGCAGATGCCAGGCCTCTTTCCAGGCGGGCACTCAGTCCTCCTCTACCCAGTTCTCCCTTCTTCTGGACAGTGGGTGCCATCTTGTAGATGGGCTTGCTGAGAATGTTCTAGAACTCAAGCTTCTCAGTTCTTTACGCCCATGAGGGATAGGCTTTGAAAAAGCAACGCGGGAATACCTTTCAGAGAGACAAAGGAAGGGGGTCCTCTGAACTCCCGTGGCGGACTGAGACTGCCATGCCAAGAGGGCAGCAGCCAACAGGACAGGCCACATGTGGGGACTGCACTAACCAGGTGTCCAGAGATGGCCGTGTCCACAGTGACAGGGCAGCTCTGGCTGCCTGGCTGGAGGGACTGCCCGTGGGCAAGTGTTGTTTGGGGGTGACAGGAACAAGGCAAGTGTTGTTTGGGGGTGGCAACGGTTACACGACCCTTAAATTTGGTGAAATGTATTGAATCGCTCACTGACGAGGAATGCATTCTACACAATGTAAATCATATCTCAATAAAGCCATCGGAATGCAGGACAAGTCCTACAACAGGGAGGACACAGGCAGTGTACGTCCTCAGCCCCAGCCAGCCGCAGCAGGGGGCTCAGCGCCCGTGTGCACGTGCTGTGTGGGTGCCCTGAGTGCACACGCACGTGAGGGCCGCCTGTGCAGGGGTGTGTGCACACGCAGGTCCTCTCGGCACCCCTGGCGGCTCTAGGGACCCTTCCCCGGCTGTCCCGGCCGCAGGTGAGGACCTTCAGTCAGGGTTCGCTCTAGGCCACAGCACCCCCTCAGGGTGGGGGTCTAGGTTCATGTAGCACCTCCCCGCCACCTGCACACCTGTCACTTCCCCAACTGTCCTGTGCCCACTCTGCCCTCCCCAGCTGCCATCTGACCACCACCTCCACAGGGGACCCGCGGTTTCTGAGCACGTGGGGGCTTCCCACAGCACCTCCTGCTGGAGCCTCCGCAGCAGGGACAGGAGTCAGGGCCAGACGGGACACGTTTGGCCACACAGAGAAGCTGAGGGCCCTGCTCAGGGCCAGGCTCCCACGCTTCCAAGGCCTCTGCACCCAGGAGCCCTCGAGGGTCTCGGCAATGCGCCAGTCGTGAGCCGGACTCGTGCAACCTCGCAGGCCCGTAAGGCTCCGTGTGGGCATCCGCGGGTGGGCTCCGACTCCCACGAACCTCCCTTGGACCCTCCGGGCTGGGCAGGACCTTCCAGAAGGGTGCCGGAGGCCCCGGGCTGGGGAGTCCTCAATCATCAGTCCTGAGTCGCGGCTCACGTTAGGGGCTGGGGACGAGGTTGCCCGCGGGAAAGAGCCGCCCAGGGACTGTGCCGGCGCCATGGGCAGGGCCTGGTGTCTGTCTCCTGCCCACTCAGACCTGATCAGGCCCCTCGGCCCCAGTGACCACCCAAGGTCCCACGAGCAGGACGGGCCCCCCACAGCCCTGGCTGTCCTGCCCCTGGAGCTGCCTCTGCCTTTCTAACTGACCGCGGTGGCAGGGCTGAGAGAGGTTCCACAGGGGTCAGCCCTGCTGTGGACAGAGGTCAGCAGGTGTGACATTCACATCCCTGTTCACCTGGCTGGCCACCCTCCTTCCCTGCAGGTGGGAGTGCCGTGGGCAGGAGCTGCCCCCACAGGACAGGGACTGCAGAGCCGCTGAGGGGCCAGCTCCTCTCCTGGACCTACAGAAGACCAGGGTCTGCCTCCAGGCACCATGCCAAGTGACAGAGAGCCCAGGTCACCTGCCCCTCGGGTGACACTTAAGTGTCCAGGCCTCTGGACCCATCACTAGGGGTGGAATGGGTACCCTGGTCAGAGGGCAGCATTTTCTAAGGGGTGGAGGAAGGCGGCAGCCGTCTGCTACAGGGACCAGGTCAGCCATGTCTGAGAGAGGCGGGCGGCTGTGAGCTGAGCACATCTGAGCGTCCGAGAGGCCAAGGGAGGAGGACGAGAACCGCCGCTTTCTGCCACGTCCTTGCTTACAGAGACAGGGCGCGGGGACTCTGGGACTGGCATACGAGACCTGAGGACAGGGTGTGGGGTCCCTGGGCAGCTTGGGGACCTGAGGACGGGTGAGGGGGACATGAGTAGCATGGGGACCTGAGGACCAGGGTGGACCCTGGCCTGGACTGGCCCTCCTGACCCTCTCCCCTGGAGTCATGTTCTGGGCTGTGCCATCTACGCGGGTGGAGCAGGACCTGTCCCAGTCCCACCCCTCCCGTCTCGGCCTCGGGATCCTGTGCCCAGGCCCCTCCTCCCCACAGGCTTTCGGGGTGCACCCAGAGTGCAGGCTTTGGCCTCCTGGAAGGAAGCCGAGGGGTGGGCAGGGCGGGAGCAGTGGAGAGCAGGGCCAGCTGGCTCCAGGGAGGATCAGCCTCTGCCCTCCCAAGTCCTTTATTGCTGGTCTCAGCTCAGGGACTCTCCCTGTCACCTAGAGGGCAGATTCTTGGAATTCTCTGCCTGCTGGGTCCTGGCACCCCAGGTGTGACCCAGGCTGCAGCAGCTGTTAACTGGGGGTGTTAACCCAGAAAGAAGATACGCGGTGTGGATAGGCGGCCCACGATGGGTGCCCACTCTGAGAGACCAGAGGGCCAGAGCACACGAGGCTTGCAGACAGACAGCCGGACAGACAGGGCCCTCTGGGCGCCGGGCTGCCCACACCTGCACACACACACCTGTCATGCCGGCCTTCAATGCCTTGTACAAGTCCCACACTTTCACACGCACAGGTTACCTGAACAGACACCCATCCACCCACCGTTCGCTGGTGTCCATCCTGGGAAGCTGCCGGTCACTCCCGTCCTCCCATTCACAGGACCCGGAGCTGTGGCTCAGGAGAAAGACACATTTTGGAAAGTAAGATATATTTGGCCAAAGGCTGCCTGATGCCCAGGGAATAGGGGTGGAGGGGCGTCCAGCCTGCGAGCTGGTGCCGGGCTCAGCAGGGGGGCCTGTGGCCAGCACACCGCACGCACACCACCTGTGGTCACTGTGGTCATGCTCAGCAGGGATGGCGGGGCCCTGAGCTGCTGCACCTGAGTCCCTCAGCTGTGTGCAGATCCCACACTGCCTGTGCGTCCTGTGTCACAGTCCTTGGGACACGGTCATGGGAAAACCCATTGTAGTTTTCCAAGAGACCCTGTTTGTATGGCACAGGGCAGCTCCTGTAGCCCTCGCACCTGGAGGGGCCAGCCTCAGGAAGGTGGCCAAGAGGAGCCCTAGGGCCTTTCCTGAAAGGGGGGGATGGGGTGGGACGTTGCCATCAGCACTGTTTAGGGCCATGCCTGGGGACAATAAAAGGTAGACTGGCTCTTGATGCCTTTCACTGTCGTCTCTGCAAAGTGGGCCCCTGAGGGCACCAGGGTGACCCTCCTGAAACCCGAGGCGTGTTTGCAGGGAGGGGAGGAAGGCAGGCTGCTCCCGACTCAGGTTCATTAGGAAGTAGGCTCTGCCCCCGTGCTGAACCCAAAGCTCCTGGCCATGACACAAGAGCCTGTGAGCAAGACACCTGCTCCCACAGGGGCTGCAGTCGCACCATCCTCAGAAACCTGCATGCCTCCATTCATCCAAGAGATATTTGCTGGGCTACTGATGGGCTCTAGGCACTGCCCTTGCCCCTGGGAGTCCACCACAGGCCTGCACGGGGGACCCAGATGGCGCCACTTTCCAAGCACATCAGCACCTCCCAGCCATGCTCCCACCAGCATGTCCACCAGGGCCCACCCTGGCCGTCTCCAGCCTGCACTGTGGCTTCAGGGTCTCCTCTCCCCCATGCAGTCCGGGGCTACAGCTGCACCAGCCCCCAGGCCTCTGCCTGCTCCACGCAGCAGTAGTGTCAAGGCCAAAGCACCATTTGGTCCAGAACTTCTGACAAGGTTCCTAGATCTCCGTGTAAGCAAATCTTGGGGCCAAGAGGCCGAAGAGTCTCTGGGAACAGTTCGGAGACTGCTCACCAAGCCTGCATTGGGAGCAGAGTGAGTGTGCTCTGGACCTCACAACTGGATTCTCTGAACAGCCACCCTGTCCGGTCCTTGCTAAGTCTACCTTGTGCATGTCCTGCTTCACTTACAGAAGAAGGAGAGTTCCACAGCAGGAGGAAACCTGCACTTGGTGGAGGGGGATAAGTCTAGGGTCCCTGTTCCACGTGCTGTGCGTGGTTTTAAAGAGTGGCAGTCAGAGCTTGCTGTTGGGTGGGGGCTGCTCTCAGGAGAAGCCTTCGCTGCACAGATGACCAGTGTCCCTGCCAGCCACTCACTCGCTGGTCATCATGGGTCAGTTGGCTGTTAAAACCCTTCCTTGCTCAGCGAAAACTGACCTATTTAGCCCCCCTTCCCCTCTTATAATAAAGTTGTGTTTTATCAACGAGTTGTGTTTTATTTTTATTTTTGGTAAATAGGGTTTATTTCTGCAGAGCAATCTGAGGTGCACAGAGGATTGGGAGGAAGAGTCAGAGATTTCCCACCCAGACCCCCCTCACTCTACCCAGAGCCTGTGGCCCGCGTCAGGGCTTGCTCCTGGTGCTGGCACCCGGGGGGGCTGGACAAATCTTGGCCATGTGTCCATCACATTAGGGTCACACAGTGATCCCGCTGCTGACTTCCTGGCCAGGTTTCAGCTCTGTAGAGCACGACCAAGCCCTGTGTTTGGAGGCTGCTGTGTTTCCATGTGTTCCCACGGCACAGTCCCACGAGAAAAGGGTTCACATTACTTCCATTTTACAGCTAAAAGAAACAGACGCCCAAAAGCAATGTTTAAAATGCCCCCAAAGCAATCAAGCCATGAGACTAGAACCAAAATACCAGCAGGGGCTTCTCTGGCCCCTCCAAATGCCAAGGCCCTGTCTGTGATATGCAGCCCCAGCGCCAGCCCAATTTTCAGGGCCTCAACAAGTTCTGACCAGAGGATGCCTGGCGGCTGGAGGGCACAGGGAGCAGAGACTCGGAATCCACCGAGCACACAAAGTCGCTCCTGCAACTTCAGAGAGGGCCACCAGGAGACAGGACTAACAGCATGGAACGTGACTTTTTCTACACCTAATATCATGAATTTACAAGTCAGGGATCAAAATCTTAGACAGGGGGAACTGAACAGTCAGAAGAACACAGCACTTCAGCCACCAAGGGACCGAGTACACCTCGCCAGCAGAGTGCTGGGCCCAGCACGGCCTGCACGGGTCCCTTCCTGCTGGCTGATACCCCGGAGGGACATCGTCCGCCGACAGCACAGCAGATGGGCTCCGTCCTGGGCCGTCCATCTGCTCACTGCTCAGGGGTCAGTGGACACAAGCCTAAGTGGGTTTCTGGAAGGCCGGAGCACCCACAGCTTGGCCACAGCACAGGGGCAACTGTGGCCCTGGAGGTCAGGTGGACCCAGGCTGGAGCTGCTCTGCCTGCTTCCTGTGTGATCTTGGCAGCCCCAGTCACACAGCCCGCTTCACCACCCAGGGGAAGGCCACCAACCAGCCATGTGGCCCTGAGGGCTGCAGACCCTGGGCAGGGACTCTGTCCTTCCCTCGGAGGGCAGACTCCCAGAGGGGTTCTTGGGTACAGCCCGGGTCCTTTCCACGAGGCCTTAGAAAACCTGCCCCACAACCTGGGAAGCCCAGGCCTGGCAGCGTTCGATTATGTAACCCAGTGCTCGGGACCCTCGGACCCCCGCCTCCTCCAGCCAGCCCTTCCCACTCCCAGCTCCAAAGGGGCCATTCCTCCAAATGTCAACAGCAAACCCTCAGACCAACGGAAAACTTCAACCAACACAGTCAGCTTAGTTCAAAAGCCTCACCTACCACCGTCGTGGAATGCAGAGGGTGGGGCCTGGGGGGCAGTGTCTTCCCGTCATCTGGTCCCCTCTCGTGGGGCACAGACCTGGTTTCTGGGAGCACAGGACCTACACAGGACCACCACATGCTGGCAGCATGAGAACCACCTCAGGCACTACCAAGCAGCCCGAGCAGGTGTGCACTGCACTCGTGGTGGCTCCAGCCCACTGCAGACCACAGGGAGTCCCTGTTTATGAGGTCTGAGCACCTTCCCACCTCCTGGGGAGCCTGCAGGAGCACCAGGTGACGATGTACTTGGTCCCAGGAGGTGGGAAGGTGCTCAGACCAGAGGTGTATAAGAGCCACCTGCAGATACCTGGGCCACCTACTGCCTCCGTCACATGGAAGGAGAGGCCTAGCACACTGGGACCATGATGCTTTTCTGATGAAGACCCCACTGGGACAACAGGTGACACCTCGTAAAGTTCAGGCAGCTGGGTGTGGCCCAGAGCCATCATTCAGAGTTGAGTCCTTTAAAAATGGCCTGTGTTAAATCCCCATCAGTCCCAGTGCCCAGGCTGAG